AGAAGATGCATAAGAAAAGCAGTGGTGTTCCGTGCTTTTCGCGAAATACTTCAGGTGGATGATGGTTATAAATCGAAAATCCACGCCGACCGCTCCTGAACGCACTGTGTTTGACGCAATGCGTGAAGTATTCATGCAGTCTTGTAGGCGCTATGCTTTTTACGCCGCTCGCTGCTGACCGCAGCGCGCAGCGCAGCGTCCGCACTGTGTTTGACGCAATGTGAGAAGTATTCATGCAGTCTTGTAGGCGCTAATATGTGTTACATGCCGACCGCCGCCGCCCGCGCGCCAGCGGTTCATGGTGAGCGGGTTCATTGCAAGAGCTATCACGAGGGTGCGGAGTCTTGCTTGAAAATAAAATATCAGCCACAACAAGAACGGTGACGTCAAAGAGACGTCTAAGGATGCCTCGATTTTTCTCGGGCGAGGGATCGATTCCCTCCGTTTTAATATCCGTCGCCTCCGCGCGCCCCTCCTTTCAACGCGATCACTTAATTGTGAGCGATACACATTTTATTTTTTCGCCCGAGTCTGAGGGAAACCTCTCAAAGCCTCTCGGGAAATACTTTCATTTGCATTATTCCGAGGGCGTGTTAGAATGTAACGTTCAGCGAAGAAATTTATCCCGCTTTTGTTTCGGTCTCCGTAAAGTATTTTTACTTCCATTCCCCCCCTCTTTCTTTTCCCTTCTCTTTCGTTACCTCCCCATGCTGTTTCCCTCCTTCGGCTTCAATTTTCGACCCGGCGGCTAAAACCGTCCTCGATTTTGCAAAGGCCGATTTCGTCACCTTTCGGCCGATGTATCACAACGACGGTGAAACTACCAAACCACGTATCTCGGTTTGCGACGTCGCAGACTTCCTGTGATACTTTATTTTTTAAATGAAAAACTACTTAACATCCAGTCTTGAAAATTTCTGTGATTTTTCCTCTTTGTGCGGAGAAAATTCCGTGAAAATTTCAAGGAATGATATTGATTTGGTCTACTTCAAAAAAATAAAATGTGAGCGTAGATTTTTAAACACCGCAAACGAGATACGTGGTTTGGTAGTTTCACCGTCGACAAGCGCTATACGACGTTTCAAAATCTCCATCGCCATTTTTATTCTTCTACAGAGAAATTGTTCGTAGAAGCTGACCGAAAATGTCGCTGAATTTCCTTTGTGCTGCCAATAAAATTCAGTGAAATTTTCAAACAGGTTCACCCGGACAATTTCTCCGTAAGAAAATCAAATGGTGGCGGAATTTTTGAAACGTCGCACGGCGCTTTTGATATTTTGGCCAAAAGGTGACGATTTGAGCAATGCGCGGACGCCATCATGCAGGAGGAGGGGGAGATCGCGCACTTTCCGTACATTGAAATGATTTTAGGTGATTCGTCAAGCTTAAGTGACGTAGTCGAACTGGCATGCGATATACCTACAGCATCGATTAGATAAAACAACTCGGCAGATTTTGAATTTTTAGCAAAAAAAAAGACGATAGCCCCTGCGCATGAGCCTAAGGAATCATTTTAAACCCAAAAATCGGCAAAATTCAGAGAAATGAAAGCAGAATAGTGTTTGGAAAAAAACCTCGCATTCGATAGAGAAATCGATATCTGAATCGAATGCGAGGTTTTTTTCTAAACACTATTCTGCTTTCATTTCTCTGAGTTTTACCGATTTTTGGGTTTAGAATGATCTCACGCGCAGGATCTATCGTCCTTTTTTTTGCTAGGAATTCAAAATCTGCCGAGATTTTTTACCTAATCCATGCGATATATCGCACGCCAGTTCGACCACGTCACATGAACTTGACAAATCGCTTTAAGCGCGAGACCACGTATCTCCGTTTGCGGCGTCGCACTGTGGATCGAGTCAATGGGAGAGGTCGGACAAAATTTTGAAACTTTTAAAGCTCATAACTTCGTTTATACAAAACTTTGAGTTTTTGAAAGTGGTTCCATTGGTTTTCTCGTGAAATTTTCTCCTACTGGCACCCCTTAAAATTTAAAATTTGACGAATTTAACATCAAAATTTGCAGTTTTAGTCAAAAATTTCATGTCCGACCTCTCTGATTGACTCGATCCACTGTGCGTCGTAGACTTCCAGCCATTCTTTATGTGTTTCTTGGATAACCAGCCAACGTATATTTTCTTGAAAACTTCCTCAATTTTACTTCTCTGTTAGGTAGTAATACTCTGTATATTTTTCAAGACATGAAGTTCACTTCTTGTTCCTCCTCTAAAGAATAAACTAGAAGCGGCAATTTTGAAACAACGGTCGATATACCTTGCATCGATACCCCCAGCCTGACGCTCCAGAGGGGCCATTGAGAGGCGCTAAAATTTTCTGGAGAACGATATCTGGGGGAGGCGCCAATTTTTTCGATTTCATCTCGCGATGATATTTAATTCCAATCATTGATGTCATGATGTCTGTAAGGCTATTTCCATTTAAATCTTCCGTCACATTTATAGGGCGCAACGCTACAACTATTTGAACTCATCCGGAATGCGTGAGGTATCACGCCGCATTTGAAGGCGTTTTTAAAACAGCCAAGTTCCGTTATTGGAATAATCGTTTTGCATAGTTCATATTATTTTGTTTCCATTTCTAACCACTTGTTTAATTTTAATCCTCCTATAAAAACCACCCATTTGCTAAATACAATTCTAGCTGAAGCTTACTTATGTTTTGAATGCAACAATTCGCAAGTATTTTGTGCTGAAAGTATAAAAAGAAAAACATAATTATTCCGTAGAAATTGATGGAAAAATTCTTAATGGGAGCTTCAAAATGCGTCCGATTAGTCGTATAAATTCTCAAATTTCTCGGAGAATGCCCCTCGGAACCCCCCCCCCCCCCGTGCTTGGGGCCCGGACCTTAAAACTGGTACCAGGGCCCGAGATGGGATGTGGCGAGCCTGTGTCTGATAAGAGAATCCCTAAGTTGCCGACTAAACTTTTTGGATAAATATAGAGAATAAGTATGGAACCATTTAGATTTCCCATGAGATCTATATTACAAAGACCTATCCGGTTTCTGGTCAATGAGTCGTCCGCAAGATCAGTTGAAGGTCTGTATCCCGTCATATCGTCTTTTGAAATTCGCCTTCAATTTTGCCGCATAGGCAATGTATCCACTGAGGACACGAATCGTATCCCGAACAACGTAAAAATGTCTTATTCCAGGGGAACTTGAGCTTATGGCTCATGATTTTTATACTGATAACATGTATACTATTATATATTATTATTTACACGTATGTATATTATTTCATAAGTCTCAGAAAGCTACAAAATAAATGTAAATCTTACTATATTATAAAATTGTAAGCCCTAAAATGGTGAAGATCGGGTCCGCGCTGTCCTGAAGTTACCGCCGTCAGAGCGAGAATATAAAAGTTTCATGGAGATGTGAAACTTTATGTTTTGTCACGCGGTTCAATCCCCTTTTTTCGAATTTTTCATTTTTAGCCGAGTTAATACGAAACATCTGCAAATCTATTTTTGCCAATTTCATGACTAATATTGATCCTATGAACTTGAAATTCGTCATGATGAAAGGGCGAGCTGAATTGGTTATCTACTTGATCTAATTGAGTCTATAAAAACTTCTCGGGCTGGAAGTCGTAACAGAATTTTTGACAATCTTGACATTTCTCGTAAAGATTGTGGATTTGACGTAAATTTGGGATGGAAAATTAAAACTTGGTTATAGCATGCAGACTGACTGTAAATTACATAACGCTAAATATTAGGTGTTTTAATACCCCTCCTCAAAGTTCAACGCTTCTACAACGTTTCAAAATTCAGGTTTGTACGTGAGGATTATAAGCTACCTACACGCATCTATGCTCTTTCGTATTCTCGTAATTTGAAGGCGATTCAAAGCCTCTGGGCTCTCCTACTGAGGTCGTAAGTTTATTATTCTGAAATCAAAGGTTGCTTATTCTGGTGGTTAAGTGTGGTTTTGTGTGTGATGGTGGAAATTTCATTCCTAACTTGTTTTGCACCTATTAATCGTTGCCGGATTTTACGTTAAATGAGAATATTTTACATGGATTTGCATCAGGGCCGGATTTATCTACTTGCCGCCCATGGGCCACCTGTATTTTACCGTCCCATCTTCATTTGTTTTGAACATGTTTTGAAACATCAATAAAAACCATCAAGTGAACGTGCCGGAAGGGGAGGGGTTTATAAGACGCGTTTACCTACTCGTATTGGATACATTTTTTGCGAGAGCCCTGTCAACACTATATACTGGCAAAATTTCTCGGAACTTTGCGCGAAAGTTAAGTTCCGTAAATCTATCTCTGAGTGGACAAGGTCCTCCATTTAAAAGAAATGAACCAAAAAATTATGAAAGAACAAACATAAATGTGGTTTAATAGATATTTTAATTTCCGCCGCTGCGCCGCGGCCGCGCTGATCGCACTGTGTTTGGCGCAATGCGTGAAGTATTCCTACAGTCTTGTAGGTCATCATTTCTCTCTGCGCTGAGCTCCAGGCCAAACTGCGTGTTTAGTCCCGCTTTTAACTCGACTAATTAAAGATGCTGCCTCCAGTATCACCGAAAAACGACAAAATTAGATATTACCATACTCTCAGGAAATAGAGATTTTGTCCACTTTTTCTCATGGATAATTTTTATTTCTGAATCCGATTTTTTTTTACCTACACTTAAAAAAATGGCAAAATTTGCCGCCATGGGCCGCGGCTCATGGCGGTATTTTTTTTTTTTTTTTTTTTTTNTTTTTTTTTTTTTTTTTTTTTTCATATAAAAATGGTAAATTTTTTTGATTAGCGGTGGTCAAAACTATTTCCATGGCATTTGTCAGGAAAGGGAAAGCTTCGGCGTCGCAAGTCACAAAGGGCAATAAAAAACTGGGATACGACGTTTAGTTTTTGTCGTCTCTCCCCCCCCCCCCCCCCCCCCCCCCCCCNTTCTAGGACCATTTGCCTACGTCATTTGAATGGCGGCCTTTTCTGCTGTGCCAAGTGCCAACTTTGTTCATTCCGAAAATGCACGTGTTTACATACATGCACCTAACCTAAAACTAAGGCATGCAGGGTCAAAAGTAGCCACTTTTTTGTTCCACATCCATCTCCAAAGCTATATCTGCAAGAAAGGTATTCTTCTAATGCCCATCAAATAAGGTAAATTTTTAAGTCCCATACTATACATCTTTCTTACTTTCTGAATGTACCCCTATAGTTAATTTAGTTGACGTATTCATTCAAGCCTCATCATGGAACCACCGCAAAAAGTTTTTACTATTAGATGTTTAAACCTATAGAGAGTAGACAAAAATCCTTTTCAAATATTTTTTTTCCCAGCTGTTGATACTTACCGAAATAGGGGCATCCTAGAACAAGACTATCCTGAATGTCTCAATGAGAAATTCCTCTTGTTGGAGGAAATAAGTACTAATCTGACATTACTCACAACTCCTATATAAAAGCTTAAATACTATAGATTATTTAAGAGGGGCGCTCAAGCCGTATGTTTCCTGGCATATTCAAACATTGCCTCAAAGCCATAAGGTCCTTGGCTTGGTTTCAAGATTGAACTACGCAGCACCTTTAGAATCTATTCAGTTCCGAGGCTAAATTTTCACCAGCTGGTTTTAGTTATTGAAAGTGGCTTTTTAGTTACATTAGTACAACAGTCTAGGAATAAGTTTCGGTTTTCAGCCTGCTGTGATCCTATTTTGACCAAGCAAATGAATTGGTTATTTTTTAAAAAAAAGTTCTTGAGCTAGAGGTTGCGCCCAGAGTGATAGATAGATGATCCAGAGGTCTAAATTCCTGGCCAAACTCAGTAAAGACTGAAGTGGTTATTAGTAGTTAATCAGTTAAAAACCTTACTTTCCTGTTGGGAGGGCTTGCAATTCTCTTAAGGATTTTTCTAATGAATATTAACATGTAAATTCACATGAACTTGTTGACTCTTACGTTAAGCCACAATATGTGACATTTTTGTACGTAGGTAATTGTAGCTAATAAAAATTAGTTCTCTCAGTTTTTAATTTCAATTGAACTAAATCATACAAATGCATACTACTTTTGAATTTACTGATAAAAGTTTTCTCCCTTTTTTAGATGCAGTTTGATCTGATTTTATTCATCTCAGCAGCATTTCATCTGTGCCTGTGCCCTTTTACAAAAGTGGAAGAAAGCTTCAACTTGCAGGCTATTCATGACATTTTATACTTGAAGGCTAACTTTTCCGAGGTAATCCATGGTAGAAAGTTAAACATGCAAAACCTGCTCAGGTTTTCATCATCTTTCAAGACCAGTTGTCTTTAATTTTTTGTTTACCTTTTCACAGTTTGGAAAACTGTCATCCTCATAAAAGTAAATGATTTGAATGAAAGGGAAAATATCTCAACACTGAAATAGGTTTGGATGAAGCTTGTGGTAATAATAATATTTGGATTGTAGATGGGTAAACTGTAGGAAACATGTCAAATTAGTCAGTTGACTTCCTCAAAGTAAGTAATGATAGTCTGCCCATCTTAATTGATGGATTGAAATTTAATAAAATAATTAAGATGACAAATCATCTGCCCCTCCACACTGACGAGGGACGCCATGTGAGCCTTCAGACGTTTTCACATTTCCTTCAATAAAAAACAAATCAATTGATAAAATTGTGAATATTTTTCCTCCGATTGTTTAACAATTTCCTTATCAATTGAGGCTTTGGATGAAAGAAAGGGCACTTCTGGATTGCAGTGTTTCAGAATCTCTGTTGCTAATTAATCCCTTGGAAAAGAATTTACCTAATGAGTGATTTTTCCAGAATTCTCTTAGTAGAAAATTGTAAAATCATGAGGAATATTCAGTAAAATTCTCAGTGAAATGGATGCATTCACTTTCCTTACAATGCATGAAATATCAGAGGAGACTCTGAAACACTACAACCGAAAAGTGCCCTTTTTGCTTCCAGTGCCTTAATTTAATCTAAAATATCTGAAAATTTTAAGGAAAATATTCATGACTTTCCTTAAAGATGAATGTTTCATTGGGAGAACTTTGGCAACATCTGAAATTTCATACAGCATTCCTCTTTAGCAAGGCAGCTATGCACTGCCAAAGTTGGTTGAATGATGTTTTAGCCCCCTTACGCAAGGAGCTTCATAGAATTTTAGGACGTTCCAGGTATTTTTTTCTAACTCAGAATTTTCACCGATAAAAATATCAGATTTCTAAGCTGTCAAATGATTTAATGATTAATGCTAATTCAATGTAATTTGGTCTCTAATGTAGGCATTATCTCTTCATTTCAGTATGACCATCATGTTTTTCCTGGTGTGGTGCCTCGTACATTCATTGGACCCCTCGTGACCTCTGCCCTAGCCGCCCCTTTGGTATTCCTTCTTCAGTTTCAAGAGATGAACAAATTTTTCTCTCAAATCGTTGGTAAGAAATTGTATGATAAATCGATATCAAGGGAAGAACTTTACAGTATCATCAGCACTTTGTTTCTTTTTTGCCTTAACTCGTTGCATTGTCCTTTCATATTTACTTAAAAAAATATAAGGAAATAGTAAAAACCACAATTTATTATAACAATGTGCATCAGAAAAATGAATCACAGGAGCAGTACTCAGCAACAAGAGCAGCTAACTCAAAACCAGCATATGTCAATATTCACCTCGTCTCAAGATGTATTCAGATCTTTTACCCTGTCTTAAAATGCATTCCAGATCACTAATTAACTATCTTAACTAAAATATTTTGCCTATCATTCTTGTTACAATCACTGAAATAAATGTAATTTTGATATTTTTTCAGTCAGAGCTGTTTTTGGTTCCTGTGTTCTGTTCTCTCTTATGAAACTGAAACGAACAATCATCCACATTTTTGGAACACATGTTGCCAAGTGGTTTGTTCTAATCTCTGCCTCGCAGTTTCACTTCATGTTCTACCTAACCCGGACCCTACCAAACATAATGGCGTTACCATTAGGTTAGTCTTATGAGATGGGGGTGGTTTCACCCATCATCTGTGCTGCCTCTTGACTTTCTGGTTCCCATCCTAGGAGTTATTGTGAAAACTACCTCTAGATTTGGCATGCGGCTCCAGGGGACAAATGAACTTGCACACCATCCACGGAGAAATGTATCCGAAAAGCAATGCCAGGCTATGATGACACAGCCAAGTTGCTGCAAACATGGGTGGTTTGAAGGCATTAATCATACAGACAGTGTTGTTGTTTGGTCCTAAAGAGCTAATTTTCTAAAATGAAAAAGCATCTGAAAATTTTTAATTAAAGAGAAAAAATAAAATTTTGCTGATATATTCCTCAAAGAGAGAGACAGCAATCTGATGAAAGTCATGAAAGCCAATTACAGAGCGTTTCCTTCTACCAGTTTGAAGTACAGAATATGTGACTTGATTTCGAATTATAGAATGTTGTACGTGCACCGTTTCGAATTACAGAGCTGATTAACCTGCTGATCAAGGTCTAAAATTTTGTAATCAATGAGAAGAAGACAGACATATGTATCTTTTTTGAGTATATAAAGTTGCTATCATTGAGTTTTTTGAATTAAAGAGGTTTGAATTAGCTAGTTTGACCTGTTATGAAAACGCAAATAGTTGCCTCAAAATCACCGTAACTCAATGAATTTTTAATCAAATGAGCTCTGCAAGGTTTGTTAGCCAGCTATTAAAATGATCCTAAAACTCGCACAATTTGCAATCGGCTGACTTTATTTGTTTGATAAGAGGGTTGGTGATAAGACTTCGGGACACTCATTGTATATCAAAAGAATGTGAAATACTAGAGTTTCCACCTTATTGGCCTTATCCCTTTTTTTTAAACAATTTGTCTCACTTTTTTCAATAGCATGGCAGAAGTGAGACTTTAAATAACAAATGAATTAATCCTTATCTTTCTCTGTTCTAGTTTTGATGGCTTTGCATTGGTGGATAAGGCGTCAGTATATGTCATTTCTCTGGGCTAGTGCTGCGGCTGTCATAATATTTCGTTTTGAGCTTGCCCTATTTTTTGGATTTCTGGTGTTGTTTGAACTGTTTTTTAGACGAATCTCTCTCCTCAAGTAAGTTTTACCACGGCCTTCCTATGGAAAAGTTTTGGTTTGTAAATATTTATATGATTCTTCACACTGGAATATTAAATTCTCCCCTTGGATGTAGACATGTTTTCCGAAGATATAATTTTTAAAATACCTTCAGGAATCTTATTTATTTAAAAGTGTTCCATCCAAGAGTATGCTCTGATTGTCAATGTTGAGTTGGATCCAAAACGTTTGCCCTGAACTTAGGTGCAAAAGTGTATCCTTTAGCTGAGAAACGCTTTTTAGAAAAACTGCAATTTCTCAAGAAGTGACAATAACCAAAGAAATACTGATTGGAAAAATTAAAAAGTATGGTGCATGTTTCCTCATAATATGTATCCATTTTCTATTTCCTTCAAAGAACATTAATCAATATCCCCCCTCAGTTTCGTACTGGTACGCATTAGAGTTCAAAAAATAATTTTGACTCTAATTTTAATTTTTGGAACGTTTCATTAATCAATATCTTTGCATACAATTTCATAAACAAGTAGTCATTTGTTTATCTTTTTGAAAGTAAAATGTGACAAGACAAATAATAAACAATCAAATAGAAATTTCTACGTGCGGCGAAAAGATAGGTAGATATTTCTTCTTTTTTTACTTTCATAATGTTAATTTTTCTTTCAGGGTCCTTCGAATTGGTATTCCTGCAGGCATCGTATGCTTGATCATAACTGTCGGAGTTGATTCATTCATGTGGCAGAGACTGCTTTGGCCAGAAGGAGAAGTACTCTATTTTAACCTCATCCTAAATCGAAGCAGTGAATGGGGCGTATCCTTTTGAAACATTTTTACTTTAACTTACTTTTGTATTGCGCAATGATGGCTATCTGTATTGCAGAATTTTTATAAAAATATTCTGCTGCTCTGCATGGAACAGCTTAATGGAACTAGGATAGAGCACCACGACGGCATAAGTCTGCAATCACATATCTTGTTTGCGGTGTCTGAAAATCTCCGCCTCTGTGTCATTTTTTTAAAAAAGAACAAATTGGCATCATTCCTTGAAGTTTATGTAGAATTTTCTTCGCACAGAGAAGAAAAATCAGGGCAGTTTTAAAGAATTGCTGTTGAGTAGTTTTCTGTTTTAAAAATAAAGTATGACAGGAAGTCTGCGACGTCGCAAACCGAGTTATGTTATTGCTAACTTATGCCGTTGACTAATATCCTAAAGTATTGCAAAAAATGAAGCTGCACTATGCTTGTGTTGGTGTGGAAATGAGTGCAGCAACTTTGGTTTGAAGTGGTTGTACATTTAAATCTAATTTCTCCTTCTCAAGCTTGTACTTGTGTCATTTGATTAAAAAAATTTTCCTTGACAGGATCCCTCAGACATCTCCATTCTTATGGTACTTCTACTCAGCAATTCCACGAGGCTTGGCATTTTCTTTGATTTTTGCAGTTTTGGGTGCATTTTTTGATTCTCGCATACGGAGACTGCTGATCCCACCAATCCTATTTGTGTTTGCGTATTCATTTTTGCCTCACAAAGAACTCAGATTTATCATCTATGTTTTTCCAGTATTCAATATTGCTGCTGCAGTAGCTTGTGCTAGACTGTAAGTTATCAAATTATTTTACTTTTGAATAGCTGACAGTGGCTCATTGTTTGACAAAAAATGCATTATGTTAGTGGAATGGAATGACATGGCGAATTTCCACGACTAAACATGTTTAATATTTTATCATACTACATGGGAGGTTCTTTGGTTGTTCCTTCTTTTTTTTTCCTTGCCAGATTTCTCTTTCTTATTGTTCACATCCGAAATTATCAAATGGGCTCTAGACAGGGCTAGAAATTCAAGGCTCCTGGCGGTCTGGAAACCGAGAAAGTCAGGGAATTTACACCAAAAGTCGGGAAATTTAACGTACTTGCATCCAGCAGAAGTGAGTGTAATTTAAAGGGAAAAAACCAAAGTGGAAGTTTTATTCTATTGTCAAAAAAGTTAGGGAATCAGAAAATTCCAGCATCAGGGAAAAGCAAAAATAGTCAGGGAATTTGAAGATGAAAAAATTATGGTGACACCGTAAATTAAGCATTGTAGCAAATGCTTTCTCATCAAAATTTCTTGCAAAAATGTTGAAAATAACGAATAATTTGATTGAACCAAGTCAGAAGTGATAAGTGATAAGTATATGTTTGTAATTTATGTCATAAACAGTGAATTCAAACTTCTTGCTCGCAGAAAACCGACGACCAGAAATTCAACGTGGGCCTACTTTGGCATTGAAATCAACATATGCATTAGGCAAATAACTAGAGCTTACTTTTGTATATATTTCCACCCTCCTCCGATACAAGGTATTTTTGATTTTGTCAAAATAAGTTAGTACACAGGAAAATTCTTCCATTGTAAAATATACTACAACTAGTTCAGTGCTTGATTTGACTTGAGCAGTTCTGTGAAATAATTAAAGCCGTTCTTTGAAACTATTTTTTTCTCACTCATCAGTTAAGTTTGGAAAGTTTTAATGCCTCCTTCATATTCTATGCAAAGTTTAAGTAAAGAGTCATATATTATGGCTCTCAATGTCGTACCCTATGCAGTCTTTAAACAAAACTTTGCATCTCCAATTTCTCTGCATAGAGCTCAATAAAATGAACATGTTATATGACACAGGCAAAGTTTTATGTCCACAGGCACTGACCTTACCTTTAATTATTTTTTTATTAGATGGATGCTGCGTTTTAAAGGTCCTTTTCGAGGGTTTCTCTCCTTGGCTGCTGCCTCGCATTTAATAGGAAATGTCCTGTTCACTGCATTTTTGTTGAGTATCTCAGCAACTAACTACCCTGGTGGTTATGCAATATCCAAATTGCATCAACTAGAATCGCCGGATGCCAATGTTTCGGTTCATATCACAAATCTGGCAGCTCAAACAGGAGTGACTCGCTTCACGCAATGTAATTCAAATTGGAAGTAAGTCTTGCCATTATTATCTATGTATCTTGCTCAAATCACGGCGAGTCTCTCAAAAAAATAAGACTCGTCTATCAAAAATTTTGTTTCAGTTTAAAAAATTACAAATACTCCAATGGATCGTTGAAATACTTAGAAATTAAGATCAAAACAATACTTGTTCCAATACATGTTCATGATTTGCTGTGGAGCACAGTGCCTATATTAATTTTAGTATTAAATGACAATTTTCCTTGTTAATCAATTCAAACAACTCACACGCTAAGTAACCAAAGTTTTCTTGGCTCATGTAAACCTGGGTTTAACTAGAATCAGCCGAACTCATGTTTAATTTCATCTACAGAGAACTAAACTACATACCTATTGCCTTTAAACTCTTTGTAAATTTACCCTAAATTATGAAGAGTATACTCACAAAATTCCAAGTTTCAGTGTTGCATAGTATTTTTGTTCAAAGAATGAAACTTTTAAGAAAACGAGGCAAAGTCTGATGTAATTGGGCTGATTTTGGCTCAATCCATGCAATTGGATACATTTAAATTACACCTATTGTGACGTAAGCTTTTTCATCCATCTATTCTTATGAATTTCAGGGCTTATATCAACATAGCTATAGTTCTTGTTGATTTAAATACGTCCAATTGTACTCCTCACTAGCACTAATTTTTTTCTTTAAAAATAAAAGTTCCCTTTAAAATGATACATTCTTAAAGATTCTCAGAACTACAAGTTACTTGACAGTGATTGATTGCTCGCAAATGTTCAGTTTCCCAGGGTGCATGCTCAGGTTTTCAGTCTTATTGTGTGATAATTGAATGCTTTAACTTTAATAACATTCATGTCAATTTAAAAATTCCAAAATTATGCGGGCATGTGTTAATTTTTGAGAGAAGAAAAAAAATCAAAATTATTGCTTTCAATTTTTACAAAATAAACTCAGTATGGTCAAAAATAATAATAATAATGAAGAAAAAAACCCAAACTATAAAGATCATATTTTTTCCTTTTTAAAAATGAAGTACACATGAAAATTAAGGATGATTGAGATTGAAAAACTTAATTTTGTAGTGAAGCCATCATATTCTCTCTAACTTAGTGTGTGTGTGTGTGTTTTTTTATGCCTTCATTTCTTTTCTTTTTGATAAACATTTTCCAAACCTTTTTAGCTCTCCTCACTGATGAAAATGCTTGCCTATACCCCTGCAATTTCTTTTTTTTCCAGTTATGACAAGCGAGAAAATCTCACGGTTGACAGTCCTGAATTTCTCAGTTTCACGCATCTTCTTTTCGAAGCTAAAACTCGACACTCATCAAATATGAAGGCACTATCAGAAAGCCATGAGATTTTGGACACCATTCAAGGTTTTTCGCATGTCGCTTTTAATTACAACTCGTTTCCTCCCATGAGGGTGAAAACGAAGCCACGTATTTTTATTTTAAAGAAACGAGAAGGTTTCACCGGTAAGAAAATCACTGCAAAGAAAGACAAAGCATCCACCCAAAATGGAAAAATAAAAGACGATCCTACCAAAAAGAAAATTGTGAAGACTGAAATGAATCCAAATTCTAGCGTAAAACGCCAGGAAGCAACGCCCAAACCGCAAAATGTTTTACCAACTGCAAGTGTGAAAGAAAAAATCAAAAACACAGTAAAAGCTGAGAAAGATCTGATAAATGGAAATCTTTCTGAAGTGCAGAAAACTGAACCAGGTAAAAAAAAATTAAAATCAAGTGGTAAAAGCGTCGATGAAACCAAATCGTTGAGGAATAAATCTGAAGCTGACTCTTACTCTAACAAATCTTCCGTCAAATAGTTTTGACAGGAAAATAAAATCTGTGACTTGATCTGGACTGAAATTTTTCTTTGTCCTCCAGCTAATTTTAGAGAGCAGAAGCTCTCCAGAAGAAGATTGCATTTCAACATGAAATCTGTGGCTTGAGTGCGGGGCATGCCACGCTCTCCTCCCCTAGTTCAAGAGCAAAATTTTTCCATAATATTGTGGACTATATTTAAGGTGGATTCACAGATATAAGTGCAAGATTTTGCTATCGCGTGGCAATAATTTTTTTGCGATCCATAGCAAGTACGTTGTTTTCAATACAAGCAGAAAAATTTGGGGTTTCGTCCCGCCAAACTCAGTCTAGGTTTGGATAACCATGTATTAGTCTCCAGGCAAATCATTAAAAAATGCGCATGCAAAATGTCATACCTCTAAATCTTAATATGAAGTTCAAAGTAATGGCCCGATTTTCAATTAATTTTAGTGTATCAATTGTGATGATGAACTGAACTTTTAACTCCACTTTAAGATTTCATAGGAAGATTTTTCTACCTCCTTAACCACTGATTTTTAAAAAATGACCAAGATTGTTGCCGTCCTCTATGAAGTACCTTTAAGGGTCTATGATAAAAAGAGCTGTGGTTCTAGAAAAATCAGTCAAGATTTCTGCTGCATTAAACAAAAGCAGTAGCACTCCAGTCCAGATTTTGCTGATTTTTCGAACATTAACGCATCTCTTCCATTCACATGATTTGTTTCTTTAAGTAAAACAAATTTTGCCCAGTGTCTGATGACAACATGATTGTTTGTAATCTTCAATACTTTGTGTTTGGTACCATGCACATGCCCTTGAAAAAAATTGAGACGCACTAAGCATTCGTAAAAACAGTACTGTTTTTACAGGTATGCTCTTCTAACCTTTTTAGAATTATTTTCCTTGTAAGTATACTTGAAAAGTGTTCTGAAGGTCTGGGATTTTATCTCTGTTGAGGTGACTAAGTTATTTTGTCAAAATAGCACTTCAGAGTATTTGACTCCCAAAAATGAACCTCTTCTTTGTTGTTCTGTATATATTTTTAAATTTCCTTTTTGTTTTGTTGTTTTGAAATCTAGTCTTCAAGTTCTCATGAATGTTGGGTTTTTTATCTGAATAATGGAACACTAGACAAGGTTAGGTACTGAAGCATCACATCACAAGTATTCTCATCAAATTTTCATGTTGAACATGGTGGACACTTTAAAATTTTCTAATTTTATCTTTTGAGCGAGAAACCAACAAGTTTATGTCCATAAATTCGAACTTCCTGCTCAAGAATAGAGCTGTTGATGCAAAAATGTCGGCCTTTTATGTGTTTTTACCTTAAATCTAAATTTTAGGTTTTCAGATAAGCTCAGATAATTCTAAACACCATCTTTCTAGGGAAGTTGAGTACTAGTAAAGGAGTCAATATCCGTTCAGCCTTTTGAACAACTTTGTTTAAATTTCCCTAGAAAATAACAAGCAATTCCCAAAGAGGGTGTTTGCTTGCCCCTTTGAATGGAAAAGCCATGAAGAATATCAACATTTTACTGTATTCAAACAACTTCTTACTGAGAAAAAAAAACAATTCCTCTCGTACCAAGGAATAAAGATGTAATTGACAGTAAAGTACAGATGGATGCTTTAGTTCTTACTTTGCCTATCATTCTGATCAATGTACTTAAGAGAAATGAATTCTTTCATACACCGCACAGTGTTAATTCTGGTTGTCAAGTAGAATTCTTAGTATTTTTATTTCAAGCATTCTAAGTGATAATTTGCAGCTAGCTGTAAAATTTTATCACCAGTGACGCTCACTCAAAACTTTTAAGTGCTATCAAAATTGTCGATAGTCTTAACCAAAAACTCATGAGCAATCTCAAACAGAATGTAAACTTTTATCTTACATTCCTTGCTCTACCATTGTGCCTTGTTTTGGAGCGTCATATCTGCAGAGCTCGTGGCCAACATTTGGTCAAACAAATGCTAAAATTTTAAAGCTTTGGAAATTAATTTGTGCAAGCGATTTTATCTTGATTAGCAAGTCCAGCACAAAAATTCAGAGTCACCGTAGTTAAGGCAAAAAGTGATAAGAGAAAAGAAAAAGCTGAATTTGGGGGAAACCGAAAATAGTAAAGAAAGACTAAAGAGAGCGAGGTAATTTCCCCCAAAAATAGCTACATATTCAGAAGAAATTTTAACTGGAACATTCATGCTGATGTGCCCTGAATTTTCCTAAAATGGACAAAATAGGCAGGAAAAAACTCATTGAATGTCAGTCGGTTTTCAAGTGAATCTGAAAAACACTTGGTCTTATGTACCAAAGGTTGCATTTTTACATCCTCAAGCATTCATTTATCTTTTGAAGATGCCTTCATCAAGCCCATCGTTTTGCCATTCGAGCTGTTCAAATTTTAATGCAGTTTTGGCGAAAATTAAATGATGTTTTGGAATAATGTCTTTTTTTGCTCCTTTTTTGATGTTGATATTAATTTTAAGTTTACCAATGCCAAAGATTAATTATTTATTCGCACTTTGTAAAGTGATATTTTTTATAGCTATTTTAAGTGATGTGTTACTGTGTGAAGTCCCAAAATATAGTCAGCAGGCATCTCACAGTGGTTACTGTCACAGATACAAGACTTTTGAGGGGCTCAAAAGAACCTCCCAAAAACTCACTGACAAAAATACTAAAACAAGTCAGTTTAAGTTTTACTTGAACTCTCATTTACGATAAATATTATTAAACTCTGAGGCGGAATCATTGTGACTTCCAATCGTTAATGTAATTTGGGGAGGGGGCGCTCACTGAAACTACTGAAAGCTTCAATGATGTGAAGGAGGCATTGAGATAGTATAGAATAAATTTACAATTACCTGAAGTTTTGAATTCTAAGCTCAAAAGTATTTTACCAATTAGGAATTCTAAATACTATGCAATAGGTTTGGCTATGTTAATTCTTTTGTGTTCTAGAATAAAGTCCTTGGTTCAGAAAGTTAAATATTGTCATACATAAAAAGTTAAATTAATTTTGTTTTTTCTCTTCTTTTTTAAAGAGTTGGGTGTTTTTGTATATTGAACCTACCATTAGATTTACTTATTAGTTTTTTTCTTAATCGCGCTTTTAAGCAAAATTCACATTCACATATCATAGAAGAAAGGATCTATTATTCATCAGGTTTTCGAATTGTTTTTAAGTAACAATAGCAGAATTGTAATTTTAAGTTCAGACCATTTAATTACGGAAAAACATCTGATCCGTTTCACTTTTGAAATTGTTTTACTTACAGTTTAATAACCATGTCTTTGTTACTTTTGTGTCCTTTTTTTTAATTCCTTTTACTTTGGCCGTTTTGATCAAGCACTTCTTGTTACATAAAATGAATTATCTTAGTTTCCTCTTCATTTCTTTGTGATGAAGTTACTTTCTGTCAAATTGATTTTGTCTTTCATCATAATAAATCTATGCAATATTGCAAGTTATCTGTCTCTTTTTTTTGGAAAGACGAATCATTGCTGATGCACCAAATATTGTGTAATTTTTCCTTGCTCTGCTGCAAAGAATTTTCCCCCAAAACGTGATGCAAAATCGCTTGGAAATACCGCTACAAATGCATCAGGAGCAGAAGTACAAAAAAATAAATTAAATAAAACCTGCTGTTGAAATATTAGTTTTTGCATTCTAACCATAAGTAGATCAGGATACCTAAAGTATCAACAATTAAAACTTAAAAATTTTGGTTTCACCTTAAACCACTTTCTTGTGAGGTGATATGTCTCGAAAGGTTTATGTACAGAGACGATATTTCAAATGCCAAAATGCAAACCATGTAAGAGACATTAAAAACTTTTAAGCAATGGCTGGAACTGTTATTTTAACATGAAATTTCACACATGAGTGTTGAATATGTTCACTTAAATGTAAGTAGGTGCCTATAATGTAACCAAAGTTTAAAAAAAAAATCTAATTTTTCCCTATAGAGTTAGAGTTTTGCAGTTCAGTAGGATGTCAGATGAGTCTACCTATGAGAGCTGAGAGGGGACTTCCTGAAACACATTAACATAAAAAATTTGAAAATGCAAGCAAATCCAACATGTTATTTTCAACGATATTTTAAACCAGTTTCAAACCGTAGAACAAAACAGGACCTTAGTCACTTTCTAAGATAGCTTTACAAAATTACTTGTATGAGACCCACATATAACTAATAAATGTTTCAAAACAAAATGTTTACAAGGTATGAAAGGGGGAAGGGGGGGGGATGTGATATTAAAATTCTCTGCTTGATGGTAGTAAGCAAAATGTTGAAATTCTAGAATTTTTCATGATAGTCATCCACTTATACTATTTTCTATATCATACACCTGGACAAATAATATCCTGCGTTTCATGTATACTGAATAGCTTTACTTAAAATCCGTAGGCACTTTCGGGTAAATCTATTGAATATTGAACTCGCCCAGGAAAATTCCGAAATTTAATGTTTACCCATATTTTTTGAATTCTGTAACATCTCTAAGTGGTTCTAATTTCAGTGGTTATATCATTTGACTACTCGAATAGTAAAGGCATACTTACTTCATTTTAACCATAGCTTTTGAAGTATTAGCAATGAGCGTAAAGAGCTGCGCAGGACAATCGCTCGCAAGGTGCAACTGTGATCGCGAATTTGAAAATTTGCGCGTCGGCACCTAATTAAATTAAACAGCGCTACCAATCCTGAGGAGAAATGTTCCAAGGTGGCAAATGAATTCCTGATAATTATTTGATGGTTTGAGTCATTGAAAATTGTATGAGAAACTTGGAAAAGTAAAATAATCTATCTTGAGTCTAATTTTTTACTCTTTCTAAATCGAGGGATATGAAAAATGACTGAAATCAATCGCCATAATCTACTTGTCTCAGCATGTTCAGGTTGACCTTCCTGCCAATATCGTTTGCCATTTTCCCAATGTTGTCGTTGCTCTTGTTATTTGCAAAAAAAATACAATCGATTGTTTACTTCTTTTGCTGTTTACATAACGCACTGTTGTCAAGTTGCTTCTTTCTGATTGTTCAAGAACAAAACATGGCTTTCAGTGACGTAAGTGATGGCATCAAATTCTGCACAAAAAGAAGAGGGGAGCGAATCGCGACCGTCCTTTTCGCTAACCCTGGTACTGTTTGCGTCATTAAGATGGCGATCATGCACTCTGCTAACTCAACCTGATTAGTTTGTTTTTGTCATTTTTCTTACACAACAACATTTACATGTCAGGTTCATCAATTTCTTATCACAATCTGAGGTATCGAGTGGAATGTGAGAAGTTTACTACAACGCAACTCTCGATGGCAGTCAGCTTAATTACTAGAGATTTCTCACGGTGAAGCCACGTAATTAAGTTTCCTCCGTCAAGTATAAAATTTCAGTTCATCTCGCTACTTAAAAAGATCAATCCTTTAATTTCAGGAATTCCATAAAAACAGCGAGGTCGCGCACCACGCTCATTTCCTGATTATATAACGTGTTTTCCACTGAATATTAGCGTGCGCGGACAATACTGCATGTTACCTGAAAAGTTTTTTCGCGCTTGATTTTTCATTCCAGTGTTTTATGTTATCAGTTAAATACTGCTAAGTTCTCGTATTTTTTGACTATTGGTGCCACAGCAAAATGAGGTCAATTTTAGTTTTCGACCAAATGAATGGTCTGACTTTTCATAAGTGTGATTCTGCCTTCATCATACACATTTTGAAATTGGGAAAGGAACAAGGATTGTACCATAACTCTCAAGGCGAGGTAATTACAGAAATTCGCATCCTTAATTCCTTGTGATTTTCTCCTGAGTTTGGGTCACTCATCATTTCGATGTGATCCAAATCCTACGTTTTGGAGTTGTGCTTGTCTGGAAGTTTTAAAGTGCATACTCACCTCGCAAGTCTTTACTCTGCGAATACAATTTGATTCATCCCACCACTCTTCTTATCCGCTGTTCTCCAACAACTTTGACCAAGAGCAACATTCCCTCATGGTCTACTTTAATGAAAAGCACTTCTAGAAACACCCTATTAGCAGAGCGTGCATGATATGATTCTGCCTCATAACAGTTGGCATGGACTTTTTAGGGTTCTGTCATGTGCTCAAGACAACATACTGGCCGGGGTCTAATTCTACTTTCATGCCAAATTAATTTTTTCTTCATGGAATTTCTGACCAATAAACTTGGTATTTATGAACAATGAATCTATTGTGCAACTCGTTCAGATTGTGTAATTTTTTGCAGGTGCAGGCTGCATGTACTCTCTTGATGCAAGCACTTATCTTGACTTTTTGCAATGCATGCTAGATAGTCATAGGTAGGAAAGATATCAAGCCAACCAGCACAACACAGAAAATTCTACCAAATCCAAAACTCAGTATTTAAGCATGTTAAATTTGAATCAATAATTTCATTTGCATTTGTTTGTTACAGCTTGAGAAAATTGTCGAGAAAGAAAAGAAGTTAACCACGACGGAGATCGATGAAATTGTCAACACACCTTGGTGCACAAATCTAATCATTCAATTGTTCTCACCAATACTTACTTCTTATAAAGTTTTGAATTCACAATTTGCCAACTCATACTCATCACTTCAATGTGAAAACAATGTTAACTTCATATTTGAACAGGTAAGCTTGGTTCTCTTTGTCATTGTTTCTCTGCAAAAAGGATGACTTTTATTTCTGCTACTGCTCTTACTTTCAGCAATCCTTAAGCATCAATTGATGAAGTATAGCTCCCTGAAACATGTACTGCTAAACTTATTTCTATTCTAGGTACTGCTTTTACTTTTAGCAATCCTCAAGCATCAATTGATGAAACATACACTGCAAAACTTGTAAACGATGTAAACAGACTCAAGTGTAATGTAATGAACTTCTTGGCAACTGGTTTTTTATTACAGGGTAGTGGCAAGGAATTTTTGCAGAGTTATAGTATAGTTTTTCCAAAGTAAAATTTTGTGAGGATACTACAATTTTTGTCTATTCTCTTACAAAGCTTCACCTCGCGCCAGTGTTGGTTTTTTGCCCCCCCCCTCACCCCCCGTCCCCCCTCAGGTAACTATACCAAGATGAAACACACTACAACAAAACTTTTTATCTGATATGCTAATAAAATCAGAAATCATTAAAGATAAGGAATACATGGAGGAAAATGGAAAAGTCGAACATGACAATAGGAACAACGTGATTTTACACTTTAAGCGGATGTGTTGCTGCTGTTGCCAAGCTGGAGGGGGGGGGGGAGGTTCTGAAGGAAGCTATTTTTTCTTTCTCTTCAGAAAAAAATTCAATTAAATATCATGAAACTCTGCAGAAATCAAAAAACATTAAATAGATAGCCTTTTTGATGAATAAATTTGAAATATTGCCTTCCTATTAAAGCAAAATATGCATATTGTTTCAGTTTATGGATCACATATTTACTTTTATCGGAGACCACGATGTGAGCTACATGAAGAAAATCTTGAATTTCCTAGTCTCAGCAGTCAAATACTTTTGTGGCCCTGATGTTGCACTGTAAGTCATATCTCTTCGCAAGTTCTTCCGCTCACATTGCACTATCATTTTTTAGCCAAATCCAAAAGAACAAAGTCTTGTGATATCCTGTGCTTGATAAAAAGTCAACACCCAAATAATTATTTAGAGAGAGTAGAAGTTTATTTAATTTTGCTTTGTGTTTGACATTGATAAAAATTTGTTTACCCATCCATCTTCAAATTTAATAAGATGTTGATAAAAAAAAAAAAACCCCTCTCTCACTTTCCTTGCATGCAACATGCCGAAAGTCCACAGTTAGTTTTTCCCCTTAATTTTAAGACTTTCATTGCTTTTGCCCTTTTCATAATTTGCCTTATCATTGGGGGTTTTCAATATTTTTGTCAATGTGATGCCTAATTATTGAATTAAGTGTAAAAATGTAACAAGGCTGTTCGTGTGAATGTCGCCCGCTTTTCTTGCATGTTTTGCAAATCAAGGGATCTAACCACATGCTCCCATGACATCACTAGAACTATCCCTTTTGTGTTGTATTGCACAATACCCAGTGTAATTTTTTTCAAGTACACGCAAGAGCCACTTTCACAGTGTCCTGCGACAACTAACTGCAATAGTCCCCCCCCTCTCCAAGGAGTGTACACTCTATCATTCCTTTATCATCCCTTGTCACCACCCTTTTACAGGGTGTCTCCTTTCCTTTATTCCAGGGAAACCCAATTGAGCATCTTTTTGGCAGCCTTTCTCTATCATCCTGATTTCATGACCACATCAGCCTAGCTAGAAAATGCTTTAATTTTTGACTTCCATGATCTGATAAAATCCATCACTTTTGCTATTAAGATATACTGTGTTCACTTTTTTATGCCTCCGTAATTTCAGATTATCTGTCCATATCTCTCTTCAGTATCCTCAATTTTTATATGTTATTTCATTTTTCAGCCTTGCCAAGTACAAGCAGTTTGTCTCCTTGATGATGGATACCTGGGATCAATTAGTGAACAAAGATCAAGCATTTCTGCTGGAAGCAGTTGAGCAGCTCAGTATCAATGGGCAAATCGCTGCAACAACTATCAGTGTTCTGGAAAACGCTGCGGAGAAATTTGAAGCTTTGATAAGCTACCCTAAAATACACACCCTAATTTTTGTAGAAAATAAACTCCTGTCCCTTTATTCAAGGTAAGGTGATTTCTTCTTTTCCTTTCTCATGTATTACACTTTTTTTTTATAGAAAGTTTAGGTTTTCTTTTCCTGGTCAAAGTGTGTTGTTTTAAAAAGGTTGACAGTTTATAAGAAATTTAAAAAGCCAGAAATCCAAATTTTTAAACATTTTGATTTTTCTTTATTTATAGTATTTTTTATATACTTCTATACTTTTTATAGTGTTATTTATAGCGGCTTCCTACTCCTTTTTTTTGGACAAGAAAATGCATGGCCCTGTATATGCCCAAGTTGCAAGATCATGGTGTCATTTGCCTTGATACTTCAGTATTGAAAATTTATTTAATTCATTGTGTAACCTGAAAAACGTTTATGTATAATATCATCTATTTATGTGACTTCAGACTTAACTATCTATTGAGCTGATTGGTATAAAATTCAAGTTTTACTCCTTTGCTTCTTAAATTTACTTGCACGGAGTATTCCCCTCAATTTTGAGTATAACAATGTCTCAGAGCTGAGTGTGACACTCATTTTAACGCGAACTTCGGCCTTAAAGAATCAGCTTAAAAAATTTCTAACTTTAGCATAAAGTAAAAAAAAGGAAAACAAAACTGTAATATTCTTAATGCTATTTTGTTGCTCACAGTAAAGGAATTTACTATGCTTGGAAAGTACATAATTTATTCTAAAAAAATTCAGTAGACCTTGTATCCTGGATGCTAAGATTAGTGATATCCTGTTGCATTTGATTAGAAGATCATTTGTTGACAGGAGCCATAAAATTACAAGTCCGTCCCAAACAACCAGAACAAATTTTAAGTCTTTAATTACTTATATCTTCAGGCTATCTTGAAGTTTGTCCTTTCACTATCTGTAGATAATCTCTTTTGTTGCTGTAATTTGTAAGTAAAAATTTTCTCCAACATCAATTTTTATTTTCTCTCTTGGTTTCAGCCGAAAAGCTAAGGAGTTGACGCCAGCAGACATCTTATTTTTAACTGTTGTTGCAGACACAATTAGGTATCAAACTCCTCACAATCCTATTTTCAAAACTGCAGAAAAGAAAGCAACATCTTTAGAAGAGGTCCCCGAGACTAACACACTTAGTAAGTCCAAAACGATTTTATTTATGCGCAATAGATGCTATTAGTATCACATCAAAAAAAAGTCTACTTTAAGTCTAGGTGCAATATTTTACATTTGGATGTGGTTTTCAAAAGAAATTCTTTGATGATAGATAGCAAAAATCTGATTCCAGACCGTAGATCCATGTTTTGCTACACACTTGAGACAGTCAAAAGTTTTAACAAAAATTTCTATATCTTCATGTTCAAAAACTTCTGATGAGATTATTAGTAAGTAACTTCAAAGTAAGTGAATAAAGTTTAAATACCTATAAAATAAACTTACAAAACAAAAACTTCTTTGAAATCATCAATAACAGTTTTTGTATTTTTCCACAGAAAATTTCCTTCCAAAAATATTTGGCCGTAGCAACAAAGTCTCTTACCTTGGAAAAGTTTATTATTTCCTAATGATGATGGGCCCACAAAGTTGTCCCAGTTATGTGTATATAACGTATCTTGCAGATGGCATTCCTTTATTTTTCATCTGCGAGGTTAGTATTCTGGTTTCTACAGCCTTTTTTTTTATTTGGTGCGTTGATGCAGTTCATTTCTTATTTTACATGTATCTAAGATTACCTCTACCAAGGCAATAATCTTTGCAGCCCAAGCCAGGTTTTATTTTTTCAAATTTTGTTCCTTTTGTTTGTTATGTTGAATGACACTTCACTCTACCGAAGTACATAATACCTTTGTTTGCCAAAAAATCAAAGTTTGGCTAGAATTTTGACCTAAGTATGACAATATATAGAACATTATTCTAACCAAAACTAGTCCAAGGAAGAATTGCTAAATTTTGTTCTTCTTTAAAATCCTAAAGAAAAAGGTAACAATTTTAAATGAGTCCTAATATCTAATGTCTACACTTTCATAAACTTGTAGCTTTTACTCGGAACAGTAGGGAGTTCAGTAGCAAATTGAAAGAAACCAGAAAACTTTTTACTGTTTTTGGTAGTAACTATGCATGCGTTATGTCCCTTGAATAATAAAGTATCATCTCTTTGATAGGTTTGGAATGAACTATTCAGTCAGAATCTACAAGAATGTCTCAAACATGTCATGAAACTCCATGATATCCAAAATCAGCCAAACCCAAGTAGTCATGCAGAAGAGATCAAATCAATTAGTTGTTTGATTGATGTTTGCCTCAGCAAAATGTTGAGCAATTGCAAGAAGAAACCAGCTCAATCATTTGTTGAAGAATCTATCAAACAGCTGTACGTCAGATGGGAACAAACACAAAAGTATGACTCTTTCTTTATTTAACAATTTTTCCTCTTCCTGCCTTTTTTTCTTTCTCCATTTTTCTTGTAAAAATTCTCAAAACTTTAAATGGTCTTAGGTGTGATATCTGCTATTATTACACATGAGAATATCTCTCTCCACTCCTCAGCAGGATTCAAACATCTGATCTGATATTATCCGCCATCGTAAGAATCTGTGTATGTAATATGGATTTTGGTTCTAAAAAAGATTCCAATTATTTGGGTCATTTCAAAAATGACATTCCTGGTATTTTTTCTCTTACGCAAATCTACCTCTGTAAGTATATCCATGCATGTAACTCCTATTTTATGTAAATGTTAGTCATATTTGATCCTCCAAAACAAGAAGTCTCTTATGGGTTTTTTTTTCTGCCTCTAATTTTTACTCAAATTGCTTGAAATTGCCTGAAGTTATGGAGGAATTAAACGTAGAAACTAGTACTCTGATGCCTGTCTGTTCGACAAAATAAAGCACATGATTCAGTAGACTTCAGTAGAATAAAAGTGATCTTTCTACATTTTGAGATTTTTTAGTTTAACTGTTGTAGCAACTTAATAATGGAGAGGTGGAAAATCACTCAAATCTCTATTGTATGCATCATGTCAAAGTCAAAGGCTAAGTAGTCTGTGTTATTCATCTGTTGTAAAATTTTTCTGATCAATTTGTACAAACCATCTTATGCAAACTCAACTGTCTAGTGGCTGAAACTAGTTTTGACGTGTCTAATTGTTAGGTCCCCTAAAGAGCAAATCTGTGTCCACTTAATTTTTTTCTCAAGCAAATTCTATTATGTCTAATTTTCTGGTCAATTTCTTTTTCTTTCAGTAAATTCAAAGAATATTTAAAGAATCAAGATGCGGAGTGTCTCACGCGCTTAGAAACTTGCACATCAAATTTGGTCCATAACTTCAAAGACCTGATTAGAAGAACACTGTTGGATACTTCCAGGGTAAACATGTTTTGTGACAGTGCCAAAATCGTCACACAATTTGTAGATAATCAGCTCAAAGACTTTATCGAATTTCTCAGGGCCAAAGCACTGAAAAATTTTACGCTTGAATCTCGTTCTTCCTTGAATATTAATAGGTATCTAGAAGAATTCCCAGGTCTAGTCCACTTTATCTACATAGACCGCAGCAACCATCGTATCATCGCTCCTTCATTAAACTTCTCGGATGAAGATACCATTGAATTCATCAAGAAAAAAATTTGGTCATCAGTGAAGTTCTGCCAAAAACATTTGCAGAATGGTCATATGTCTGTGATATGGCGGGATGCAACTTTTAACTATGCTTATTTCCTCTGGTTCGAGGATTCCTCTGGTATTGCCATGAAACCCAACGTCTTTCCTTCAGGATCCTTAAAACCCTTACCAATGCCTGGCATGTTGACATCTAGTTTTTATCCAAATTTGATTAATGTTTGTTTTCCCAACTCAAATAAAACCATCAACTGTTATGAATTATACTGCGTACATTTAGGCATAGCATCTTCGTCCTGTGTGCTAGAGCACACGCGACGAATTCATGCAACCATTTGGGAAGTGACAGGTTTTCACAATAATTCTATTGATCTTCTCTAGCCCAAGAAGAAGGAGGATATGATTTTTGAATCAAAAGCCTCAAAGAAATATTAGTGACTGTGTTCAGTGTTCTCCATAGTCTTGTGTGCTATTTATTTTATTTATTTGTATTAGCATTTTTTGTAAATAATTTTAACTTTACATTTCATCACTAAACGGTTGTTCTTTCAACTGAAATGATAAGTCTTTCAATCAATCAATTAATTATTTTTACCTATGCTATTATCCAACGAGGAATTTTAAGTACTCCGTTTTTCTTTGTTTTTTTTTTTAATTGACTGTTTTTGTATACACTATGGTATGAATCACTGGATGGTAGAATAGTGCTGGTTCCACTCTGTTCTGATGGATAATCAAAGTGCAAAATACCAAAAATTAGAATCAGAACTAGGTACTAAAAGCACGCAAATGCTAGTGAGTTTCAGCGGAAGACTAAGGGGAGAGCAAACAGTTCATGTTGGTGCATTGAAAATTCGTTGAAGGTGTTCTGTTGAGAGATCGGCACTGGTTTCACTCTTACTTGAGCATATTAGCCAGCGGTATCCAATCAGAGACCATTTAGCAAACTTACATATCCTTTGCAGCACTAAAAAGCTATTATAGATATTCTGCAAGGCATGGAACTGAAGCGCAGTCATTGTGTCATCTGCCATTGCTGCCAAACCCTTGAACAAAATTATAATAACATCTGAAAAAATGTATTGTCTACCCTCTCGTTATTTACAGTATTCAGGCCACATTTTACATGTTTTTTTTTTCTCCTTGGTGTGCTAATGTGAGATTAAGATAGGTACTGCTTGTTTTCGAAAAATTGAAAGTTTTACTACGATAATTTTATTATTGGAGTACAAATCTGGTGCTTCGAAATGTTACAGTGGTATTTTTCAGCTTTTTTTTGTAGGTTTGCTGATAATGATATAATTTTTGACATTGAAGCCTTTCACTAAACGATGTACCGGCCAGCGAAATTTTATGCATATATTTCTATCCCATAACTTTAATCCAACCCAATTATGTTACTCAAAAATTATTTTTACTAAAATTTAAATGTAATTTCAATACTCAGGGACTAAAAGCACCTTTCAAGATTAGTGGCTTCCTTAATTTCGAATTCATTCATCAACAGGGGCGGACTGGGACCGAAAGAGTGACCAAGAATACTGGCTCATCAAAACTCAGATTTGCCCAATTTTTTTTTTCTTTTTTGGGGGGGGGGGGGTCCGTTTGAAGGGCGCAAACCAGCCCAGAACTACATTAAATGTCCAGGAATTTTCCGGATGCTCTCGCCTTGTTCATCAAAAATAAGCATTCTCTCTCCGATATTACCTAAAGAGAACACTTCAATTATTGTAACTTCTGTTGAAGTCAGGTTGAACAAAAAATGAGTAGGTAATTTCTAGCAACAAATTGAATGTTTCACAAGTATGTTACTTTTTTGTACATGTTATCGCATACGACCAAATTATTAATTTTTATTCTACATTAAAACTTTTTTTTTCTTTAAAAAAAAAAGATTAAAAAAAAGGTCCGAGAATATCTCAGTACGAAATACATGAAACATTTTCCAAAATATTGTGTACCTGCAAGTTACTTTTTTAAAACTTTGTAATTCAGTATTAAGTCGTAAGATTTCATTCGGAAACACCAAACTTTTCTGTTTACCACCTATTCAGAAATCTTGTTTTTAGAAGAAAACTGATCAAAATTATGACCTGTTAGCTCAGAGCCTGTACATTATACTTAGCTTTTTTGGGTGGGTGAGAGTCATCATTATTGTCATGTTAAACGGGATGGAATACGATTTTTGACAAAATAAAAAACCGAATGACTCATTAATTCTTAATGTTTATTATATTCTCAACTGTAACAGCAATACTCTCGATTTTTTTAATACTGAAAGAAAATCGATTTATCTGATGTATTAAACTCTTCAAAACAATGTTCGAAATTGACAGGGAGAGGGATGCTTCCAGACTTACAGACAGACCAATGGAGTGTTATAGTGGGTTGATAGGCGCCGTAAATTTAGATTTACGTAAATCATAAACAGCCTATAAAGTAAGCGGAAAGCATTTAAAATTTTATCAAGTTTCTCAAACCAAAACTCCTCTAATTTTTTGTAATTCGAGCATCTTATCAGAAGAGACAGCCACTCTTTCTCGCCAGCAAAGGAATTCGATGACTCAATGCACATAATGATGCACAATGCACATTCCGTAGCCGGATTTCTCCTGCCAATGAAAGAGGGTAGCAGTTCTCTTTGTAATGGTGCTCAGGGAAACATCTGTTTAAAAATAAGTTTGTTTTAAGACATGACTTAAAAAAATTGAATCAAAGTAGTCGGCTGAATTTGATAATAATAATATAATTTAAACTCCTGTTAGGCAAGATTTCCTCTCGAACGATTCACTGTTAGTCAGCTTTTAAGTAACACTAGAATTTAAAATTTGTCATTTTAAAGACGCAGTTATGTGGGGCTTTTTTCTTTAACATTTTTAAATTCAAGTCATTGAATGAACTGTTTTGAAATTTTTTCAGTGCTGTCAAGTGAATTTTTTGGAGTCTCAGTGTTTCTCTTAGATTCACATATTTAATTTGAGTGTCAGTCTTTTTATGGCAAATTGTGATGTGTGGGTAAATCAGCGAAATAAACGCTGAAGGTGCATGATTTTATCAGTAATTATCATCAGATTTCTTCTTTTAAGAAATCGCTTACCTAAGTATGTGCATCGTATTTTAAATTATGTATTTACTCTCTATATTTTTCTGTCTCAGATCACAGACTTTCCATGAGTGATGAATCAAAAAAAAATAAATAAAATTATTTTCCTTTTCAAATGTATCTTTTTTTTTATCCTCCAACTAATATTTTTTGTATAATTTTCATGCTTAATTAAGTGTTTAAAATTGTAATTTTGACTGTTGAAGTCCCACACAAGGAGACTTTACTTGTGTTTTCAGCCCTATCACTGCATAGAAAGTTTGACTGAAAAAGAGGCAAACTCTCTCCCACGGCAGGTATGCTCCTCCATTATAGCCTCAACTTTTAAAGCTTCTTTTTACAACTTGAAAGTTGCCGGTCGACAAAATCAGAGTTACTTTTGGATGTTTTTCTGCCAAACGGAACTATGTGTATTAAGACACGAACCCTAAGACCCATAAGAAGGTATGCTTAAAAGGGCTCATGGTTCATGGTTCATGGTTCAAGGACACATAGTTCCGTTGGGCAGAAATATGACCTATCGTGCCACTAGCAAGATTCCATGAAGGAATGGTTTATTGAACTAAAGCTCCAAGACTCTTGCGGGAACTTACAATTTGTTGCTAAGTATGTCATGGGAAATAGAAGAACTGCGCAATTTTCCCTTAGTATCAAGAGTGTAAGAAAAGAAGATATGATTCTGTGATGCTTAACTGCAGGAGTATCGTCAGTGCATAGGAAATATGTAGTTCAGCTAAAAAAAAAAAAAAGAAAGAAAAAAGTTCCATAAGGATGGTAGTTTGTGTATTTAATGATAGATTAATTTGTCACAAAATTATGTCCATGAAAAAAAAATATATATAAATACACTTTAAACACTTTTTGACACTTAAATTATTTTTTCAGAAACATGAATACATCATGAGTTTGACGACATATTAGGTTTGATCAACAGTTGAACATCACCAAGTGGAATGAATCTGTCTACGTAAGAAAAGGGGTTAAAAGAACAATGTACAGTCATTCTACTTACATATTCACTACGTACATACTTTTCAATACTCCTTTCACAGATACATGTGTTTAATTCAGTGATGCTCAGTCAAAAAAAAGTGGGATATACCTTTTCAGGTAGAGATATTAAAAGGATTCCTAAAAACCACAACAATATATTTTTTTGGACAAATGGAAAAGTAGTGCCTGTTGAGCACGACATTTGATCAGAGGAATAAAAATTTGAAATTCAACATAACTTGGATGTAAAAGAACTTGCCAGATAACAATAAAAAATTGTCACCAGCGAAGAAAGAGTCCTGAATATAGTAACCGAACACAAGTGTACTTTCTTTGAGATAACGCAAGGAAAAACTCGAAAATTGGAAAGTATAAAAGTACCATGATGGTTTTGTCTCTTTTATCAGTCTAAAAACTTTAAGAGCACATTTGATCATAAATGTAAAAGGCAAACTGAGCAGAAAGCAGGGTTTCATTCCTCCAAGAAAATCCATTAAAAACGATCACAGCGGAAAAAGGTTTGAAAACATTGTTTCTTTTAAAAAAGAGTATTAAAATATGAAGCAAATTAACCATTTACCACAGCCACTGCAAAGTTGTTCTGACAATATATAGACCTTATCGGGGGAAATATCGAGGTCTGACTCATAAACACCAGAACACCTACGTAAATATCCCGATCATTTGATACAGCAATGGTTCTTTTGAAACTTTTGAACTTTAACAGTTTTTTCCAAGATCTAAAATTTTGATTGAGTTTTTCTCGAAATCCTTGAATTTTTTATTTTTTTTTTCGAATTTAAGAGCTTTGAGACGAGAACTCATTTCTTGAATTTCGAAATTTTCTCCATAACTTTAATGAGAACTCTATTGTATCGATATCAACTGTAAGTGATAAAAGCATTATGAACTAGTGGATGGAGGTACCTATGTGACCATACTTGAAAAAGAGACCTAGGTCCAAAAAAACTCAGAATTGAGGTATTCATACCAAAGCACAAAAAAGTGTGCTACAAACACTTTGAGCCCCCCACCACCACCAACAAAACCCCCAAAAATGTCGAACCAAAGCGGATTCATGGTGGTCTGCAATTTACAGTGCGAAAACATGTTGTTTCAAGACAATGTTGCATGAAATTCTAATCTGCCACACTCAGGGCACAGAACTGTAGAATTTTAATGTCATTTCATGCTTAGTTCAGATATTTAAACTGATTTAACTGCTCACAATAAGGTCTGTAAGACGTATTAGAGTTTTTTGTTGAAAACTCAAAATCTGATTTTACGGCCTGACTTGACAGCAATTGCCGAACTGAAAATGTTGCCTACATGGACTATCTCTTTTCCCATGGATGCTCACTTATAAAGTATTTTTTTCACTCTTCAAATTCGTGCTCTTCAAAATTACAAAATTCATTAGAGGCTCCAAGTACTTTATCACAAAAATCCGTTTTATTGAATGTCAAAGAGGTGATTACTGAGCTAAAGCCTTTGAAAAATTGGATCCCTTTAATATTGATCAAAAGAGAGGCTCAGATGTTTGCAAATCGAAATTCTAATTTTTTATTCGCATGCAACTCATACATATTTTCTAGGGAATGTTTCTGTAGGAAGTATGACCCTTGCTTTTTTTACAGATTACAAGCAGGACACTCTGCATTATGTACTTTTGATAGTGTTGTTAGAAAACAAAACAGAACTATATTACGTTGATATGAAATCATTATAAAGAAATGTTTAATGTAAAGAAGTTACAAATTCAATGTGTAAACAAATTGGATGAACCCACTTCCAACAAAAATTTACATTTAATACTTTGATAATATCTTGATTGCAGTGTAACAAAATTTTTTGTTTCACTTCATTTGTTCAGAGAAAAACAGATCACTAAAGAAAAATCATGCTAAATTTTATACTTTGAAAACACTTGATTTTTCTGCATTGAATGGTAGACATTTTGCCAAATGGTGGATCATCGTAAACTAAAATAAAGGCACTACTAGTTTAACAAATTACAAGTATCTGTTTTACTTGGAACAACTTTGTTATTAATAACAATGAGACTCCAATAAAACTAACTTTGTAAATGACTTTCGTAAAAAAGATATATTTTAATGTAGATGAATTCGATAAAGACTGAGAATGAATGTTTCCATTAAAAAACTCTGAGAATTATGGATCCAGAAGAGTGACAGTTCACTGTATGACAATGAGATTCTAAATGTAAAAACAACAATACGTGTCCAGTCTTTCTGATCTGATTTTGAAGTCAATCTATAACTTCACCATTTCAGGTCAGCAGTAAGATATATTTACATAGCTAGCAATAATAATACTAATCTCATTTACAAGGTTGAGAGGAAAAAGGGAGGGGAAAATAATACAAAATACTTATCCCATACTTATAACTAAAAGGCACATAGTAAATGCATGTTTCAAATGCATAATCTTGGACAAGTATTCAATTGCGGAAGACGAGAAAATCACATACAAAAATCACAAATACGAAGACTACGTTCTATTTAAGCTCTTACGATAAACAATAACAAAGTTCTGCAAAAAAAAAGGTCAAAAGTTTTCAATGTGAGCGAGAGAATGATCACACATACATTCATTATGAAACACTAGATCCTAAGATAACTGCCGCTTTCTTTGTAACAAACCTAGCATTTTTGGGAGAAATCAAATTTCTGCTGAAATGTATTGCTTTCATAACGATCATTTCACACGAAAAAAAAATAGCGGTGTCAGATGTGAAAGAATAATTACACATTGTTGCACAAAATAGACCTATCTACAAAGGGTGGTTAAAAAAACAGGTACTTCAGGGACAATATAGTAGACTATACACTGATTTTTAAACCTACCCTTGTAGGTGAATCCATTCAGCTGGAAAAAGTTAAGTTTTAGTGTATTTTGTGCAGCAGCATCCAAAAATTGACTACCACTCTCGCCATTCCTTCCAAGTTTGAAAAAAATGCTTAAAACAGTTTGATACGGTACGTTAGAATCTGTTGCATTGACAGCTCTTTCATACTCTCTATGGTTCTTAGTGTGTGATTTGAACCATATTCATTTTCAGCGATTTATTTCTCCACTCTTGTAGTGCACATCAAATTAGTTTGGATTTATGACTAATTTGGTATTTTATTAGGTTAATTGATCCCACAGGAGGTAGATAATTGTCCAAAGGGTAAAAAATTAAAATCCCAAAGTCAGTGTGCCAATAATCGAAGGGCCCTACTGAGGGTTTACTATGTCGCAGTTTGATAAACTTTGATAGATTTTTTTTGCAGAATATATGTGTCAAAAACTAATGGAAATATTATTAAGGAAGGAAAATGAGTAAAAGGATACAGGAGGATGATAGAAAACTTTCCAAGTACATACTTGAAAATTAATATGAAGTCATTTAGACTAAAAACTACAGATAATGTACATCAATGGATGCAATGGATGATAATTTTTCATTCTGACGACAAGATGGATTTCGCATGGGAAATTATTTTCTGCATACAATTCTTTCCATAAATGGAGCCCTTCAAATGGGAACCAAAGTTCATACATTAATATGTTAGACAAAGGAATTACAGATCTTCAAACTTCATTTTAAAACAATGATTAGGTTTAAAAAATTAAAAAGAACTGATATAAAAATTTAAACTGGACATCCACTTGAGAAACAAAAATATAAAAATCAGATCTCTTAACAATTAAGAAATTTAATACTGACCTCTTAAAAAACTTAAAATACATTGCAAAATCCCTCTAGAATCCTCTTCCTTGAATTTTTAATTAATACTGACTTTTTACAAAACTTAAAATACATTGCAAAATCCCTCCAGAACCCTCTTCCTTGAATTTTTCGGCATTTTTGGGGACAATGAGTAATAATATTCCTCAAATTAAATAATACTGACATAGCAAAAATGTATGGACATTCATTCAGATAAAGGGACTCAGATCTAGCAATTTCTTTCTGTGAATAATTTTAAGATTGAATTTTAGCCTCCTTTCTGATGTAGCTATGTAAACACAGAAGCACCTTGAGATTACACATGAAATGGATCAATAGGACGAAAACAATCTAAAAGGCAGAGGGTAAATCTTGAAAATATATGCAAAAATTTACTTTGACTGACTACAATCGCCAAAAAATTACTTTGAGGCTATAGGGAATGCCGCTTTTTGTTAACTCAGACAATGTCAATGAAAAATGAGTACCTACAGTCCAAAGTTTGTTCCAGTTCACTTATATTTTGTTCTATAATTGATTACATTAATTTACGTAGGAATATTTCCAAAGCATTCAAACGATTAATGAGTCTTTCTACAAAATGGAAAGAAAAATAAATAAAATTTCACATTTACAAATAACAAAAATCACATGATTTTAAGGAGTAAAACCACTCATGCATAGATAAAATTATTAACAGCTGAGAATCAGATCTAAACTCCATCCAAATTTGTCATTTATAAGTCTAGATAATGGAGGCTTTTGCTCAAAGGTGACACTTACATTAATGGGTAAATACAACAAAAATTAATTTTCTAAAAAAAAAATAAAAAACAAGCTATTACTATGTGTCTGAATTGTCTACTTCACTTTGAGAGCCAGGAGATGAATATTTCTAAAAATTTCGGCACTTTTTCTTCATACTCCACATAAGGTTTTCAAAAATATTTAGGCATTCAGTCTCCTGGGTTACAGGTAACGGGATGAGACAGTGTTCTGCCTTCCATAAGTCTAAAAATCGGGCTTGGCACCTAAAAATTGGGAAAGCTGGGTCATCGAGGTGCCTGGAAAATTGACGCACCCAGTAGATTTTTTCCAACTCGCAAGCGCAAAGCAGCGTTAGTCCTCTTCATGCACTGTTCACCGCATGGACGCAAGAAAGCAGCCCAAGAAAGAGAAGATTTGAGAATGAGACAAAAACTTTCAGCAAAACAGCATAGCCTATGCAAAAACTTGATTTGACTCCGAAAAATTGAGCTTTCCCGCTAAGGTAGCTCCTAAACATTTGAGGGTAAGGCAGCACACTGGGATGAAGCAGTACAACTCTGGAAAACAGTAATAGATAAACCCCCTGCGAAAAATCCATTCGACTGTAGTTTTATTTACAGAGACAGAAGTTATTATTGTTTTACTTATTTCTTCTCGAAATCAATGGAAGGTTAAGGAGGAAGAAAGCTCTTCCTCACTTTCTCTTCTAAAAACAGTCAATTGGTAACCAATTTGACTGAATTGGACGTATTTCTGTCAAACAGAACTATGTGCATTATAACGTGAGCCCTGTTATGCATGCATTCTTATGGGTCTTAGAGCTCATGTCATAATGCACATAGTTCCGTTTGACAGAAATGCGTCCAATTTTCTATTCAGAGAGCGCTGTAAATCGATGGTGAGAACTAGAAAAACATGTACCTAGGTTTAGGTCAGTGTAGATTTTTTGTCGCAGTTAACTTTAGAGATGAAAGATCAATGATGATTGTTGCACTGAATTCCTAAGGATGTCTCTTTAACTTTTCAAGAATAATTCCTGAAAATACCTTGCAGGTAATTCTCACTTGAAAACATTGCGATCAAGATGTACATTTTTCTAATTTCACCATCAACGAATATTATATGCCTTAAGCTTTCTTTGTAATAATAAGCTCTCGTTTAAAGTTTTAATTTCAGAAAATAAAAAGAAAATCAGCTACTCCTGAAATACATACAGCCTGAATTTGTTAACAATTAATTACTTTTAAAACAATTAACTGCATACATGCAGTTTTTTTACTAGTTTATTTCAATTTGCTCGTTAGTTACATTCAATGATTTGTCAAAATAGTATTTTTACTGACATTGATAATTGTAAAGTAATGAAATGAACTTTTGAGATAGACAATGGGCCTGCGAGCTTCTAAAACATGATATCTTAAAATAATAACAGTCAAAAGTTATTAAACCATTCACAATAAAAAAATGGGATTATAGCATTTCTACCTTTTAGCTTTGCTAATATCAAAACAGTGCATCGCAGCATTCCGATCACGAGAAACGCCTGAATGCATCTAAGTACATATAGTGCGAGTATTCAGACTACTGGTTGCCCCCGAAATTGAACAGAGTCAAGCTCTTTCTTTGAAAGAGCAGTCAAAACTTCCGATACAAAAAACATAAAATACTGTAAATGAGTCTTATAAAACAACGCTTAGTATCTAATAAATGGACAATGTCATCTACAAAAGCATTTGAAGTTAATATAAAATAAAAAACAAAGTTTCAAAGAACAATTTCAAACTATATACACACAATTCAATGGTTGGTAATGAAACATGATTCATGTTCCCGATACTTCTGGTAAGGGTGAAACCAGATTGAGCTATGGTCTCGGTGTGTTTCTATAAATAGAATCTTTAAAATTAAACAGTTTTTTTAGAAGAATCGAGTAAAATTAGGAACAATCTCTCAGTTTTATTACATAGAGAGGTAATGGAAACTCATCATTTTAAACGCGCTAATGCCTATTAGTGCAAATGCTTTTACAGAGGTATTTACATATTATGATTTAAAATCGTTTTCTGTATTGTAATCTATGAACAGATGAATCTCTGGCTAGGTTCATAATGTCATCTGAAAATTTTCGGCAATCAGAAATTTTCACTCAAAATTTGGAACATTAATGATGGCAAAGTTCCCAGATGAAATATGATAAACAGATGGAAAATTGTGAAAAGTCCAATAAAACAATTCTATAAGGCCTTTCACTTAAAGCAGAGGAAATTGACAAATTGGAGGTGACTAAGCGATATGATTGAGAGATTTCTAAAAGAACACATCTTTCCTGCCAGTATAATGTCATGATGTTCTCCTTCAAAGTTCTCTAAGGGAGATTTCCTCATTAAACAGACTGATTTGTTGCCACAGAGTGGGCTAAATCAATATGATCTAACCTCTACAATTCAGAATATGAGCTCAGCTTGATCATTTCGAAGAAACGGAAATTCTTGTGGGATATGCTTATTGTTAACAGGTTTGCTTAGGATTTTGCTTGAATGAACAGGGCATTTTAATAAAGATGTTTCTTCTGATAAAGAAGAAACATTCTTTCGGTAAAAATTCAACATATTTCGGACAAAAATGATTCAATTAAAGGATTATTAATTGACCTAATTCTGCGATTTTAGGTTGCCCACAAATTTTATTGAGAACCAGGGTTGATTTACCAAGGCTTCTTTAGACCTTAATTATGAAAATGCATGACATTTTTTGAGTAATTATTTCCTGATATGCATTTGAAAAAAAGGCAGCTGCTATCATTAATTCTAAAACTGACTCTAAGTTCCCGGTTTTCCTAATCAATAATTGGAATTTTCCAAAAATCTTATTCGTGGAGCGGAAATTAATTACTTAAACCATTCAGAGAAATAAGGTAAGAGGTAAAAATTACCATCTTTTTCTTGACAGTCTCCGTTATACTGCAAATTTGAGGGTACATTATTACCCCTTATTCTTTCCAGCTTTTACAATCCAGTGCTCACTCAACATTCTGAATTTTAGTGGTGATCAATAAGATTCAGTTAATACATAAAATCCAAAACAGGGAATTCTACACACTCATTATACATACATTTGAAAAGGGTGAAAAAGAGAAGATGCATTGTCATGGGCTAATGATGAGTTCCATCAGAACAAAAACGGGACACCCTCATACTTAAGGGAAATTAAAAATTTCAAATCTTGTGCCTTGGCTCTATTAACATTATGAGAGAGGCCATTTGACTGTTTGTCTCACTGGATACGATTCAAAACGTTACTTGACGAATAAGAGCGTGATGTGATATGATATGTTAGTTTTATCAGAAAAAAATAAGCTGCTCTTCTTGAAAGGTCAAACAAATAGTCAAACGATCAGTTGAGCAGTCAGTTGAACAACTGCCTATACGGTTGCGTATAGTTGATTGCATTGGGTAAAAAGGGCTTTACAGAAAGTCCAGAGATATGAGATTAGGGCCTAAAATTTCGAGTCATAGATCATTAATTATGTCAAAATACAAGGGTAATAAATAAGAAGAAATAACCTAAAATAACGAGCGAGATTCTTGAAACGAAAAGCTTCTTCCTCTAGAAGGAGTCCAATCAAGTTAGTTTCTACTGACTTATTTGACGCACACTTGACTTCAATTACATAATACTTATTTTTGATCATGATACAGCATCAGAAATATGGACAAAAATACGGACATGGGAAAAAGATTCCTGGTCAGCTTTAAAACCTTTCGAATACTAAAGGCAAAAGAAGATTTACAAAATTTTCCTTCATCTTGTGCAAAGATCTTATCTCTTTTGAAAACAAACTCAACCAGCTCCAAATTTTAAGGACAATAAAATGCTAAAATATCATGAACATTTGATGACATGAGTTTCACAAAAAAATTGGGGCAATTTGGATGCATTGTTTCAAATTAATCGATCTAGTTATTCCATGATTCACAACGAACTGACACATACTTCTGGAATCCTTTTCCCACATCTTAACTTAGATTGCTTCCCCAGTCGGATAACACAGCCTTTAATGAACAACTAAAAAGTCAAGGATACTTAAAATTTATCACTTCCACTTCAGGAAGTTTTAGCAGTTTCAGATTCCTGACTCCGCAATACCCTCGTCATCTGCAACAAAACCACATTAATTAAAACTGAAGTCCTGAACAAAAATTGAGAAGTAAGAAATGTATTTGAAAAACAGAAACAATTCCTGATACAATGCAGAAAGCTGAAACTTCAAGAGAACTGCCTTATTGTTTTTTGAGGAAGCACCTACAAAATTGGACCACTATTTACGGTCTGAATCTAATATGGGGAGGCTACTGATTGTCCTCCTTAGATCTGGTTTAGATTTGGCAAGGAGGGCACTCTGTGTTTTCTTCATCCTCCAGTTCCTGGTCGTTTTTAAGAGATGAATTTTAGAAATAGTTATTTATTTGCGTCATTCTAACTGTGTGCTACTTTGGCGCAGAAATGAAAATACTTGTAAAAGAAAGGGCAAACTTGCATGCACTATTGAAAAAATTCTAAAACCATTGCACTGGCTTTTAATTGAGTCTTGAAAGATGCTTGCTTACTTCTCATCTCCTGGTTCATCATCTTTTTGTCCTTATCTAATTTGGTATGTTTTCCTGTCATTACATTTTGCGAGTCCTAAACTAAATTTTGTTATGAAGATATACTTCTTCAGGGTTGCCAGCCAAATTATTTTTTTCCATTCCCTGACTTTTCCCTGACTTTCCAATATTTTTCCCTGACTTTTAAGTATGGATCTGACGCAGTCTGTTAAAGTGAAAAGTAGTCAGTTGATCCCGCAACGCGAGCCCGAGACCGCCGGCGCCTCATTCCACGAAAAATCAGAAAAATCCCTGACCAACACCAAAATTCCCTGACTTTCCCTGACTTTTCCCGGTTGATTTTTTTTCCCTGACTTTTCCCGGTTTTCCCGGTCGCTGGCAACCCTGCTTCTTCCATTTACATAAGTTAAAGTAACATATAGACAATCAAAATGGGAAAATGATTAAGGAATAGAGTTGAGCATACCTTCATAGCCTTGGTTATGATGGATCTCTCTGAGGGGACCATTGTTTTCGTTGCCCTCTAGCACAGCCAGTAAACATTGGTGGATACAAATATACTGCTGCTCTGTTTGAACCATCCAGACGCGCTCTTTGCGCATGTTCCATACGATGCCAAATATATCCACATGGTCGCTGTGATTTATTTGTTGAAGGATCCTATCCAAAGCGATAAACGTACCGGATCTGCCTACTCCAGCACTGAAAAAATTCATGAGACAGAATCGTTGCAAATTTTAGTTGCTTGGGTATTACATCAATAAGCTGAGTTGTGACAGCAAAAATGCATTCTTTCTGTCAAACTGGCTATTTTAATTTAACTTCAACTGGTAACATGACAAAACAAAAAGTTCGATGCTAAAATTTTGTTGACGGCGATGTTTTATTTATGGTCAGCCTCAAGTTCAGTCAAGGCTATCAACTGGTCATAAAAACGATCAAATTCCCTGCAAGAACTGAGGTCTGCTTGGTAAACAGGATTGAGAGAATTTCATAATCATTCTCATCCGGAACATTTTTGTAAAAAAAATTTTATTTGAAAGATTTCAGTGGCCAAAGTGAAAAAACCACATATCTCTATCATGAAGTTTAAATTTCTGCTCCTATTTTATTTTATCAAAGAGAGACAAGCCAACTTTACACCTTGAGATCCTTGAGATACATACAGAATACATTTTTTTCACAGAGAGGAAAAATCAAGGCAATTTTCAAGAAACTACCCTGCCTATTTTTCAAAGAAGAGAGAAGGAGGTATCACAACATCAAAAACGGAGATACATGGCTTCGTACTTTGGCTATCGATTTGTGAGTTAGTGTTTCGCTTATTTCATGGTAAGGCAATTAAATTCAGTTGAAAAATTGTTTTCATTTATTGCTAATTGGCTATTTTCTGTTTGTGTTGGAGGAGCTAAATTTAAGCACAGGAGGAAACCGAGTGATCAATTGACTCCTATGTGCTTGCGTATGAATGAAAATGAATTGTCAAACATGATTCACACTGTTTATCATGGAGAATTTTGCTGACTAATTAACAGGCATAATTCTTGTTTTCAAAAACACACACATTGATCATTGATTTGTAACTTGCACTATTAAAGCTTTGCGAATAGCATACACTGACTGGGTCAACTTCTTTTGTGCTTCACAAACAAGTAGTTCGTTTGAAATTCAAGCTTAGTTTTGATTTCTGTAGATATGGATATGAACTTACCTGCAATGGACAACGATGGGTCTTTGGTCAGGACCAATCCGTTCTCTAAAGGCGCGAACAAATCTTATTAAAGTCTGTGGAGGACTTGGTACACCAAAGTCAGGCCACGTTGTGAAGTGGAAGTGACGAATTATACGTTTTTGATCACCCTGATAGGAGAAAAAAATATCTTGGTCAATTTCTTAGAACTGATAAATTAGGGAGAAGTTATGAAATCAAAATCTAACTTATAGATAGAGAATCTAAGGGGAGAATCTTCTGAGTATCTACATAAGTCAGAAAATGAAAATATGGCCATTTTGTATGACATCCTCATCTGAAACTACTATCACAATTGCTGACTTTTACTTCCACTTTCGTTCTATTTTTTTCAAGAGAACACACCAACTATGTAGCTTTAAATTTTCGTAAAATATTCTGACTTCTAAATGGAAAAATAAAAAACTTTCGGAAAAAATGTCAATTAGTTTTCCACTTAAAAGTTGCAAGGTGAGGGGCAATTTTTAATGTCAAATAATAAAAGTAAGTAGTTTTTATTTTTAGTTTCTTTTCTGCCCTTTGATTTCTTGCTCTCAGTCTTGTATCTTCACCTTGCTTTTGTCACAGGTAAAAATTACAAGAAAATAGGGGTCAGTTTATGTCTCTTAACTTACTGATGTATAACACTGAATTAATTCTTATTTCTCTGTTTACTTTTAAGTATTCAAGTGCTGTACTCAAAAATAAAAAAGCTGCTAATAATTAGAATTATGATTTGATTAAAAAGTAAAATTACTCAGAGGGTTTGTCATTAATACTTAAAGAAATTAGTTTGTGATGTAAAAAGAAAATCATACCCGGCACATGATGAATTCAGTGACGATCCAGTCAGGATAATGCGTATCATTGAGCATAGTAACAGAGATGTCACCATAGTAGACAGGCAAAGTGTCATATGGCCAGTAATGGTCGCACTTCTCTCGCGCTTTCTCAATGCACCTTGTGAGCATCACAATGGCACGACTATTGCTCTCCCAGCACATGCGCCAGAAGTCATCTCGGGTAGAATGCAAAGGTCCTTGTGTTACAATAAACTCTCTCGGAGAGTTGTGACCTGTGACATAATTGGCATTAATATAGTCAGAGCCTTCTTCATCATCCACTGGCTGCAATTTGAAGCGTGAATGATCATAAGGTAAAATATTTGTGAATCTATTTTTCGGACGGTTACAAGAAAGATCCGCAGCACTGCAAGACTGCTCTCGCCCGACATGTTTTAGCTCCTCAAATTCCTCAGAGAAACGGAAATCAGAATCAGCAGACATGATTCTATAGTGTTCTGCGAACTGGTCTAGGCGAATCGGCCGACTGGTTTCAATAATACTGTCAGCAAGGGAAGCACAATCTTGTCCACGATGATCAGTCGTATTTTTGGTTGCAAAACGGCGTCTCCGTAGAAGTAACAAGCTCACAAGAATGAGGACTATGAGCCCTGCTAGACCAATGATCCCCAATACAATTGGGGTATTATCTTGGTCTGTCTGAATAGGGAAAGAATATGCAGTGTCAGTGAATTTCTCCGGTGCTGTAAATGCTCTGATCTTGACTCTGTATGTTGATCCGCTTTTCAAGGGACCATTGCAGTAACCGGTTGATTGTCCCTCACAAATTTCCTCTCCAATGGTGAAGTCTTCAATAGATGAGTTCTTGAATGGATAATATGGTTCCATAACCTGATAGGGGGGCCACACGCTATAAGCTTGAACGTCCCTCCAACTAGGCATCTCTAGACCAGAGGCATTTTTAGAGTCATCTTCTGCGACAATGATTGTGTACATAGTCACCTGTCCATTCTGTTCCGAGAAATAGTTCTTCCTGAATCTAATTTGGATCGTGGTGGAGCTGCGACACACTTCTGTAGGAACCACTTGACTGTTCGGCTTTGGAGGAGGCAAAATTGGCATTTTCTCAGACCATACTACTTCTGGTCCATAGCCTATTCTTGTTTCAGCTTGTATCCTGAACGTATAAGCTTTACCAGGTTGCAAGCCTTTAATAATACCACGGAACTCCCAAGGCTTGAAATCTCGCGCTTCCGTGTGAGATGATCCTTGTAGTCCATAAGTTATGGTAAACTTCCGGATGATTCCGTTGGCTTCGTTGTCTGGTAAAGCCCACTCAAAACTGATTTCACTTGGTCGAATGTCAGTTGGGTGGAATTTCTCAACTTTTCCAGGTACAGATTCTAAAGTTTGGAAGATGGCCGATACAGGAAGGGAGCGGCGAAGAATGAACGACTCAGTGCCAGAGCGAACAACGACTGTGAACGTGTAGTTACGATGTGGTTTTAAGTCTGAAATTGTGATGGAGTTATGCAGAGTTAGGTTCTGGATTAGGAGTCCCTCAGTATTTAAATACTGAACTTCAAATGCATTGAATTCTCCTGTTGGGGTGTCCCAATTAAGAGTTACGGTAGTGTCAGTGATTTGAGTTGCATTAATGCTTGTTATCGGTTCAGGATATAATCTGTCTTGTCTTTGCAGAGGCTGGCTGGCTACACCATCCGCTACTGTCCAGACAGTGATGTTATAAAGACGGCCTGGCATGAGGTCATTGAATGTTACTTTCCATTCTGTGTCATTGGCGGATTTCTCTTTGATCGGAATGCCTGGTTCCGACAATGAAAATCTGTACAGATCGAAGTGTGACTGGGATTGGGGCGTAGGCGTGTAGCGGAGCGTGACAGAATTGGTTGCTTGCTGATTGTTGACCACAAGAACTTCTGACAGAATAAGAGGGAGTGTTCGGGTGGATAACGAAGTAACATCACTCTCCAGACCATATGAAACGGTATAGATGTCAAAGTCGTACTTGACACCAGGCGTCAGATCTTCAACAAGAGCTTGAACAATCACTTGTTTCCCTTCCTCCGGGCCAGAATCCGTCATGTTCTTTCTTCTTACAGTTTCTGTTTTTGCTTCTGGCCCAAGAGGAGTCCAAGTTATGACATAATACTCAATGCGACCCTCAGGTCGAGGAAACTCTAGAGTTACATTGGTTGAGTCGATGAGAGGAGCAATATTCGATACTGGATTAGGTCGCACTGTGTGATTAACTTGTAATGGATGAATCGATTCAACTCCGTAGCTCGCGGTGTTAACCTGAATTATATAGCGTTCCCCAGGGGTCATTTCAGCTATCTCTGCTTCCGGAGGGCCTGTTACACCAGGTAACCGTACCCAAGTTTTTTCTTCCTCTGTCCGGTACTTGATTAAATATTCAGAGAAAATTGTATCAGATGGTTCTTTCCATTTGACAATGACCATATTGCTGGTTATTTTTTCAATGGTTAGATTTTTCGGGGGCCTCGGATAAACAGCTTGGAAGTATTCATGCGGCTCACTTCTGAGACCATGACTGATGGCGTAAACTTCTATTTGATAGCCAGCGCCAGGATAGAGATTGTCCAAGAGGAGGTTTGGTTCTGTTGTGATCGTGGTGATTGGTTTTTGGTTCGTTCCATTCCTCAAATGGATAACCTCAAACTTCTCGTGCTTTGAGTTGACATCAGACTTCCATGAGATGTTCAGTCCAAATTCTATTGGTTTCAGATCTTCAATAATAGGAGCGGAGGGACGAGTGACGATGTAAATTGTTGTCTCATTGCTTTCCATGCCATTTGAAACTGCCTGGACTGAGATGGAAAAGTTGCGTCCAGGCAACAGAGATTCAAGCACATATTCAGTCTTATCTGTTGTAAATTGGTTATATTCTCCATTAATTGATTCTGCTTCAGCATAGCTTATCTAAAAACAAATTCACATCAATTAGAGGGAGAAAATTTATAGAGTAAAAAAATTCTTAAGTTTTGAAATAAAAATTCACTTAAAGTAAACGAACATTACATTTTTAGCAAACATGTGATAATTTGCAGCAAAAAAAAAAAAGTCCTTTTTAATTAGAAGCATTAGTCTGCTACCTCATTCAGGAAACTTTCCGAGACGAACCTTAGAGTAAATTTAAAACAAGCTGCACTCACATTTCACTGTTTAATTGGACTTATCAAGCGGTAAGAAACCCCTCAGTTTTAAACGAAAAAAATTGCTAGAATATAATTTTTGCTTTAATTTTGATTTTGAGAACAAGATTTTTAGAGGACGGAAATTGAGAAATGGTTTGACACAAAATGAAGTGAATTCTGGCAAAACACTGAAACAAAAATATTATCTCCACAAACTAGGTTCTTACTTCTTAGTCTATGTCATTTTAAGACCACATTGTTTTTGGGCATTCTTAAGTGAGTGTTACAATGGTACCATGATTAGAGAAAAAAAACGTAAGATTTAATGAGGATTTGGCTTGCTAAATTCTTTTTTTAAAAAAAAAACAATTGAAACATCCTGCATGGCTAGCTTATTATTGATTGTAAGTTCACTTAATTGTCTTTCAATTAAAAAACTACATAGGTAATCACTTCTATCTGCTTTAGGCATTGAATTCTAAAACCGCAGTCCCATTGCCCTCAACATTGAATTATCAATGCTGCCATACATGTAAACTTATAAAGCTGTTAAGATGACTGCTCTTGTAGGGAACATACCTTGTAGGCTTCTTGATAACTGGTGTTATCGGGAGTCCATGAGATAGTCAAATCACCAGTCGAATCATTTATTGAAGACTGCAAGTTATAAACTGGTAGAGGTTCTGAAAAAAAGAGGCACAATCATTTCAAAAAATGCGTAAAAGGTTATTGCATGCATTTAATCAGTGCCTTCAGTTGGCATGGTTGTATGGGGCCGCCGTAAACTCATAAAAAAACATCACATCAGCTGATTATTTGACCTAAACCACTAGACCATTCAATAATTTACACAAGAAACGTTTTGGGAAAATTGTCCAGTATTGCAAAATTAAGATTTTTATATCATTGCATCAATGACAGTCTGACTAACTTTTAACTTAAACATGACTGAAAATATGAATCCAAGTAAACTCACAGAAGTTTGGAATTTCAAATTGAAAAACTATGAGCCAACACAAACTTGAGAAAAAGGGTTTGGATACTTTTTTATTCCATATTCAAAGTGCAAAATACCCAACTAAAGAATAATGATGTAGCTTTTTACTAACAGAGAAATAAGTAAATCAGTATCAATTGATAATTCAACTGCTATCAGTCGCAACCAAGATTTTCAGTAATCATCTTTGAAGACAGGCTGTAATAGAAAAGAAGAAGAAAACTTACTTAATGTGACATTGACAGCAGCAGGCCAGCTGGCGACTTTGCCAGAGAAAGTTTTGACGAGAACAAGATAAGTGCGACCAGGTTCGAGACCATCACTCAACTCGCACTCGGTTGGTTCATCACGACCTTTCAGAATAGGGGTAGTTGAACGTGATTGTTGACGCACATTCACTGAGACTTGATATTTATCGAATTCACTGAAATAAAAAATAAAAATATTGATTATGTATTTACTGAACATGAGATTTTTCCAAAGGATTTATCAGTTAGTAATATAAATTTCAACCATAAAAACACCAAAAGTTAGTCTTGAGCTTTCGTTTGATTGAGAAAGTATGTCAAAGAATTACGCAAAAGTCACAGATCTGGCAAAAGGAACAGAAAGATGAGCAAAAGAATCTCTGGGTGCATTCTAGATTGTAATCACTGGGGGTGGTTAACACAGCAAGTCAAACAAACAGCTTGAGCCAATTGTGCTTGATTATTCCGATTTTATTGTCAATACAAAATTAGAATTGGATGTTGGATTGAGTTTGAGTTGTCAACAGTATGCTATTAATGCATGACAAGATGCCATTAAGGAAAAAAAATCTATTTAAAAACGGAGTTCTGAAAACCGCAAACTTACCACAGCACTTTAATGAACTGTACGTTGTTTTTTACAACTCCCTTCATAAATAAATCATTTTTGGTAAAGGATATCTGGTAGAACAAAGTTCAGAGGAAAGGAATCAACTACATTGAAATAGTTTAAAAACAACCTATTTGCATAAGGGAATTGCAGATCAGTCATTTTATTCAACCAGCCTCCAGCTTTTCAGGTAATGAAGAAAAATAAAATTAAGGCGAATTTTTTTTACCTAAATCCTTTGGGTGGTTCCCAATGAACTTTGAAGCTATGGGAAGTAACAGATGCTTTGTCATAAGTAAGTGAAACAGGACGCAACGGTATAGTTCCGTATTGAGCTGTGGTTGGAGCAGAAATTTCGTCTTCACTTACAGTTTGGACAGATATGTTGTAGGCCCGTCCTGCAAAAGAAAGGTGCACATTAATTAATTGAGTCAAATTAGACAATGTTTGAAAAAGTGGCTGTATTGATGCTCAAAAGAACTCTGTGAAAATGAACTTTATCAAAAGGAACTATGTTCATAGGATTTGCATCCTACATGATTCATTTTGATTTAATTCATTTGCACATGGTTCTCATTAGCACAAATACACCCGAGAAAAAGATGCTTTGAGATTCTGGAGGATTTTAAAAAAGATTCAAGAAAACTTCTTAACATCTTTTATTAATCTTTTATTTTCACTTACCTATGAACAGACGAGCTAAATTTTTTATTCTTGGGCATTGATGCCTGCTTACAAGTTCCTACAGCCATTCCTCTTAATTTGGCTGACAACAGCTCTGATATTGGTCACAATGAATTACTTATTTTTCCCCATATCTGATAAAACTAATATCTTTTAATTTGTAAAGTTTGAGGGATAAATTTAATGGACCTTTCACTCAGAAAATAATTTTTCGTTGAGGGTCGAGCTCCTGTCCAAATCGTGAATTGGACTAATTATGGAAACAAAAAGGAAATGAGCTGTCCATAAAACTGTCCTGAATCATTCATGATAAAAAGAGAATTTCATCACACAAAAAATACAAAACATAAAAATATTGAAGAATATAAGTGAGCAAACTATCTATTTCCCAAAGTTAAAGAGATACTGTGATTTAAAGAATTTTGCTCAGTTATGACCAACTTTCAAATGAAATTAAGTTAATTGATCAGATATGGATCAAGATTCAATGATTGCTCTGAAGTATAAACACTTAAGCACATATATTAGGTGCAGAAATCAGGTTTGCCTGTAACAATAGAACTTTTGGTACAACAAAAAAATACAATATCTGAGATGGAGATACATACAGTTCTCCTGTATTGGACAACAAAAATAATCACAAACTCAATGGGAGAACTATACACAAAGACAGAGACAAGCAAATAACAAACATAAAAACAATTTGAAATCCTGATTGTAGGAAAATATGAATTCATCCATTTAAAAAAATTCACAATTTTAAAACCACCTGGTGCGACACACACACAAAAAAAAAAAAAAAAAAAAAAAAAAAAAAAAAAAAACATTCAGATTCAACTGCAAATTTTGTACTTCAGAAAGTACAATACCGCTCTTTTTTAGAAGTTTTTTGTTCTCTTCCTCCTAATCATCCACGTTAAAAACCTAGAGTTACTTACCCTAACAGCATAATAATGGGCATCTTAAATTTGCACCAGTTCATTAACCAAACTTGGCACAATTTCTAACCCTCTCCAAAATAACTCTGGTTTATCTCTTGTTTATTTAAACAATTGCATAATGCTTGGCTCAATACTCAAAATATTTTGTAACAAAGCACTATATACCTCTTTTTAAATTTTGAATTATTTTAATAATTACAGATTAAGATTATAAGCCAACTAAGCAAATACATCCTACAAAAATAAAAAAATAGAGATAAAAAAAGGAGGAGGGGGATTTCAAAATCGATTTCCAATTTTTTGAGAGGGTAAATTTTGGCATGACATGGCTCGGAATAAACATGGGCTGAATGAATCAGACATGTTACATTTTGGAGCAAAAAGTTTCACATTCATAAAGGCCATTTCACACAAATTAACTGGCAGTCTATCTAGTATCAGCAAGCTTGAAAACCATGCAAAAACTTCTACAGAATACAAAATGAAGAATAGACACTTTCAAAATGTTAAATATACCGCCAAAAAAATGGAAATAAGATACTATCAAGAAGCAACACAAAATAGCATGGTCACTCTTAAAGCATGAAGTCGAGGAAAAAGTAGGATAGGTGATCTTAAAACTATCACAAAAAAACAAACAAACATACGCAGAGAAAAAAGAAGAAAAAATTAGCAACTATTACTAACTCATTGCTTAAGTACGCTGGGTCAACAACACAAAAAAAAAAATATTCAAAAGTAAGAGGTTCATCTAAAATATCAGTTCTAAAATTTTTATTTTTGAGCAAGGAGAGGTTAGTCAAGGCTCTTAGCTTTAAAAAGACCTTTAAAAATTAGACAATTCACTCAATTTCTTCTTTTAATACGGGGCTGAAAAATTTTAGTTTTTAAGCTTTTGTGGAAAATTTAAGTCTCAAACAAATAACGTTTGGTTGAAAGCCACATTCTATAGAAAAAAAAAGAAAAAAAACTGTAATTAAAAAAATCATGAGCCACAACAACATTGGATATAACCCAGAGTTCCTCTCCTTTTGATAGAATTGGAGGAAGAATGAAGTGAGTTCCTGTCCTGCAGATGAAACTAATTTCTTAGATGACCCTCCTTACAAGTATGAACAGAATATTATCCTCTATCTCTACCAATTTTCTGCTGCTATACACTTAAAAAAGGCAGGAATTCAATGCAAAGTGCAACCAACTAAAAAAGAACGATTTGATAAACGGGATACACTACATTTAATGCCTCAGATAAAAAATGAAAATCACAGACATCTGAGCTGGAAAATTGAAAATTTCTGTCTTCGACTTACATACTGTTGCGAATTCAATCAGTGTTGATTTCAAGAGTTTATGAAGCAAGTTCTGTTAGTGTTCTGTCTGTTAGAAGAGAGAGGATACCAGAATATGAAGAATTAGTTTATTAGACATCTCAAATGTTAAAATTAATTTGGAAAAATAAGGATTTGATGAAGTAGTTAATGCAACACTTAAGCAGCAAACCGTTGTTACAAGATGAGGATTCCATACCACAATTTTACTTAATTTTAATTGGCATCCCCAAAATTAGTAAATTAAGCATTTTTAGTTGCAAAGGAATCACCTTGAATGGTTATTTGAGATCTATTCTTATTGATGTTAAACCGAACTGAAGAGCTTGATAAACTAGTTGTGACAGGATTGCTGCAGAGCTTAGAAAATGAAATTTCCTAACATATACATGAAAATATGCAGGATGGTTAAAAAGATGTAATTTGAGATTGTTGTCATGGGAAATTCGTTGTTCAAAAATACAAACCCATTCTAAACGGAACATACAGACTATTTGGAAATTTTGTTCTGACACTTTGGTTATTTTTCATAGCGCTTCCCGGTTTTTTCTGACTTTTTAAGATTCCCTGACATTTTCCTGTTTCTTCAGTGTTTCCTGACTGTGGGAACCCAGATATAGCTAACCTTAATATATATAACCATAGTATAACCCACATATAAATAACCTTCAATGAAAAAAGAGACTTCTTACTTCTCATGATTCCGATACTTGATGTGAGAGTGAAAAAGGAACCCTGGAGGTGCTTAATCATACTGATCAAAGTGACAGAGAGGTACCTCTGACTGCTTCTCTGACCTCCTTGTGGAGGGCAAGATATTTTATGAGGCCATCTTGTATTTTTTGGCAAACAGGTTTCAATGAAAGCTTAAAATACACAAATTTTTACTTGCTTTTTGCCGTTAAATATTTTTAAAAAAAATCCAAGAGAAGTGTAAACTAAGTGCACTCTCTACTTTTCAAAAATGCAAAAATGAATAAGCTCAATGTTGACACACAAAATAGTGCTGAACTGAACTAGATTGCAAGTTGCAAATTGGTTCTACTGAAGAATCGGGTTGAGAATTTTCATCCAATTCTGTGACTAAAATTCACCTCTTGAGGATATAAGGATCATGTTAATGTGCTAAGAAACTAAACAATCGGGTTTCGATTCAAAATACAAAAAGGTTCTCTAATAAGTGAGTTAGAGGATATACCGATGGCAGAAGTGGAAAATCGTGTATCTCTATTTGGGACATCGCAGACTTGCTGTCGTATTTTATTTTTTCTTTGGTTTGGTCAATGCAATTTCTTAAAAACATTCTTGAATTTTCTTCTCCGGTAGCAGAGTAATCTTCATAGATTTCCAGTTATAAAGTTGGTTTATTTCTCTTGGATTAAATAAAATAGGAGTGGAAATTTTGGAAAATCACAATGGAGATATATGATTTCATACTTTGGTCATTGGTATGAAGTTAATATAATTTCACATACAGGGATTATAATATGTTACTCTGTGAAGTTTTGGGATTGAAGGGAGGTGTAAGATAATGAGAGATTATGTGAGTTAAGTCATCCAAAAGCTAGGATTTACAATACGATAAAAAATAAAAAAAATACTAAGAATACATCTGGTTATATTGAAGATCTGGATGGTGTTGCTACGAACCAAACAGAAAGAAAGGAAAAAAATTGGTAACAAAAGTTCGTATCAAATACTTTTACTTATTGAATCTCATAAATGAGATGTAGATTGCAAGTTTCCCTGATGAAGAAACAATTTTAACAAAAGATGAATACCTGATTCCAGAAACGATAGATTTGTTACTCATGGTTGGAAAAACTTTGAGGAAGATTCCAAGACACTACTTTTTGCAGACTGAATAAAAGCAAATTTTAGGTTAGGTTTATCTGTTTTAATTTTTTCAAAATTAAATGAGAGGAACTAGTTTAAATAAGAACGCTTTGTTAGAAATCAATTTTTTTACATTTTAACCAAGTCAAGCTCCACTATCTCGATCCTCTGATTGTATTCAATAACGGAGCAGCCATGGGGTCAGGAGGAAAGTGAATGATTGTATGTTTAGCATGATAAAAAATAGCACATTGCAACTTGAGAGGAAATTCAATGAACGGCATTTAAAAAAATACTGATTTTTACTTGGGTTTTAGGCAAGAAAAATAGTCATACTTTCTCTACCCACAGGGGGAGTGAGAAAATAAAAATTGGTTAGAAAAGTACTTTTGTTAATGAGATGTATAAGCAGAGAGATTCCTCACTTTCTGACACTCAAAAGTAAGTAGCTTCGCCTAATATGATGCGATTTTCAAGGTTTTCCACGATTTTCACCCTTTTTGTGTAATATGGTACTACCAAAGAAGATGAAAGTTTCATGACTTGAGAAGGCTTTGAACACAACTTCATTAACATGAGATGGGGAGGAAAAACCAGAAATAAAGAAATAGCCGGAATATCTGCCGCATATCTCGCAGATTGCTGTGACAAGCTGGGTTATACCTAATAGCACCAGCTATCATTAAATTAAACAAGATATTGAGCTGACGATTCATATTCTAGGAGTTATTTACCTGCCTGACAGAAATACTTACATTGAAATTTTTTTGAAGAATATAACTATGAACAGTGAGGAATCCAACATTGACTTGTTGAATGCTGAAGCTTTTTTAGTCTATGGTCCCTTCAGACCAATTCAGGTCCTAGTGCAGCTAGCCCTACTGGTCGGCTAGTTTGACTAAGAGTTGCTGCAGTATCTTAAAGAGCATAGAACTGTCATTCTATCGTAACTTTTATACTCCTCGCCAGGTTTTAACATGTGTTGGTATCTGTGAGCCGGTGCAGTAGTCAACGTTTGGAATAGAATATAGGTTTTTAAAGAGGTTAATGACTTACCAGGGACGAGTCCTTTGAAGGCTGCTTGTGCTGGGCCAGGGGGTTCTCCCTCCTTTTCGACATAAAGGACACTTTCTGGGGCATCCGGTGGGTGTATTGACACTTTGTAGTGGGTGTAAATATTGGCTGGGTAGGATGGTTGCCATAATACAAGGAGTGTTGTCTCATTTCGGAACCAGACAATAAATTTACCAGGTGTGTTTGGCTCTGCAAGAAAAGAGAAGAAGAATGATGGGTTCAACATTTCAAAAACATGGCAGATAACAAGTCCGTTTCAGTAATAATTTTTTGCAATTAATTGATCAATTTCAAATGGCAACCTTGAAATTGAGCATTTGAATGGTTTACAACAATTTTTGGATCCAAAATTAGAAGTCAAACATTTCCAAATCTTTCCAGGAACTTAGAGCAACAAAAAAAAAGCTCAAGCTGATTCACAATAACCGCGAAGAGTTTGCTGAAAGTCCGTTGATGAGCAATGGACCAGCTGTTATATTTTCCCGACTTTCCTTGATTTTGGGAGACAAATCCTACAGGGAAATCAAAGAAATCCCCTGATTTTCTCACATATTTGTATGGGAGAAACTAGATTTTTCTCCGAAGTTGAGATCAAAATTAATTTTAGTCGAATTTTGGGTAATCCGATCGCCCTCAGTCAACATAACCACCAAATTTCTGGGCAAAACGGCCTCAGAGTAAAGATATCTGGTTTGTAAGATTGAGTCCTTTAAGAATTCTTGGATTTTACCAGATTTTCCATTCCCTGTAGAATCACAGTCTTCCCAGGTTTTTTCAGATCCTACACATCCTGCATCAGAATCTAATTTTACTTTGGGCTTCAGTTCAAAATTGTTAAATTCAAAACGGATCAGCGTTCTGCCTTTCCCCTAAAATAATAAGCACCATCTACGATTTTTTAGGAGTCAAATTAACTTTTTGCATACACATCATAAGCTACTGCTACTTTGCTATTGTGAATTTGAAAAAATTGGCAGGGAACATCAACTTTTTTGGGTGCCTCCATGGCGCCCCCAATTTTTTATGCAAAAGCTTGATTGTTGAGCGCACTTGGGGCATGAGAAGGGAAAATACTGAAAGAGATTTAAATAAGTTCCATACAAGATTTACATATCATCATTGTGAAAAGTTGGACAATAAGGCTTTGAAAATGTAACAGAAATTTTCTTTAGACTTGCACTAACATCTGTAACAATCTTAGTTGAAATACATGCATTGATTTCTGATGACTATGTGAAGGGGAAGATACATTTACGAGCTAGACAAGCTTCTTCAGCAACGAGTAGGCCTTCAGCTGTATTCGGCAATGTTCATAGCCAATCAAGTTGCAACTTGCCACCTGTAACTCACTCAAAGTTGGATCAGATCCTACTTTTTGGGTCAAGACGCGCATGAAGCACACAGGTGTATCTGACTCTTTGGAGAAAGTTAACTTACTTGTAGTAAAATTCCGAGATATGTATGCGACACTTTCCTTATTATCATAAACACTGAAAAGCTGGACTTGGTATGATCCTCCTGGTGTTAGCTCTCGCAACATGTACGGACTGGCATTTTCTCCTAGGGGAATGGTTCTAGGAGGCGTAGAGACTCTTAATGGAGAGGCTTCCGATAAACTCGACACCTTGAATGAAATAAATTATATTAGTTTACCTGATTAATTTGACACCAAAAATCAACATTTCTGTAAAATCAAACTTTGGAGTGCTATGCATTGAGATTTACTCATCTTATCTACGAAAGCATTAGTTCAGATAAAATTTATTTGAAATTCTCCTTAGAGGCAATGGTGGCAATACGGCCATTATATTATTTCTCCTATCAATAAAGTCCTATCATGTATACACTGTCACACAATTATAAAACTTGAGTTTGGAGTATCTTGATAACCTTACCTTTGGTACATGGTTGGACTATCTCATGCGAGATAGATCAAAAGTAAAATTTCAATTTTTCATTTTCCTAAGCTGTACCAACTTAGGCACAGGTTGATACGATTATAGGCAAAACTGGAGATATACTTCCTAGAAACTTTCAAAACAAGGTTTAGATCTGGGGACAAAAATGTAGATCCTATGCAAACTTTGTGTGCCATTTCTTGCGTGTCCAATGAAAAAGAACAAAGAAAAATCTAAAAACAACAGTAATTAGAGATTTAATCAGTCTAGAGGTGCAGAGATTTTCTAACCACTCACTCTGCTTAGAAGCATGAAATAGAAAAACCCTATCGGATTTTTCTTTTAAATTTTTATTTTGACAAAATTTTGGCAGAGAAAGGTTTACTTATTTTGGAGGAAAAGACTTCTTTTTTTCCCTTAAGGGGAACTGACAATGAATTTTGGTAAAAAATACAGGAATTTCAATTGAGTGTAGGGAAAGAGCACCCCCTCATCAGTTAGGCAACATTAGCTTTCGTCTCTTACTATTCATTATCAAACAAAGAGCTGATTTTAAAATTAATCACATATTAACCCTCTGAAACCTATCCTTTTATGTAAGTATTACTTCTTCAGCAAAAGGAGTTTCTTTAAAGTTTCAATTTTAAAATGATTAAAGTTTTTTTAAATTTATTATTCCCAATTTTTCTTCTACAACCAAGAAAAAAAAATTACAGAATACGAGTGGTGCATAGTAATGAGTACCTTTAATTTGAACCCAGAATAGTGACCCAGTGCTGGTGGGCTCCAACTAATTTGCGCCGATTTTCCACCTTTGACATTTACAGAGAGATTTGATGGTGGGTCAGGGGCTGAAATGCATAATATAATTTATAGTGAGTAAAATTCTGGTGAATACACATGCTTAAGGAAATAATATCATCTGTAGTTACATCTGTAGATGTAACTGGCTAACTGTATTTGTTGAGGCATGAAAAGGAAAAAAAGAATCTGTTGAATATTGTAAGATTCACTGGTATTGACCAGTCGAAAAATATGAATTAAAGCGCAATGCACCACAATGCATGTCTCGCCCTAGAATTTCATGTAAAACATGATTTTCACAATAGCTGGTTTGAAAACCATCTGAATAACATGGAATAAATGAACCAGTAAACTTATACTTATCAAATGAAAGACAAATGATACCTGGACAGATGGAAAGAGAAGTTTACCCGTCTTTCAAGAACCAAATTTCATGAAAGATAAGAAATGAGACGAGTCTCTGAGTGCCATTGGCTAAAAACTCAAACGTGTAAAATTTGAATATGCTTCAAATGCTCTTAAATGGGCTTGCAATGCTAGGCATTGAGAGAAAGCTCATCGGCAGGGCCGGATTTACCTATGGTGCATCGGTGCAGCTGCACAGGGCGCCAGATTTTGAGGGGCGCCAAATTTTGGGTTTTTTTTTCCAAACTCTGCAAAAAATTGAGAATTGCGTCGAAAGTTCAGAAGCTCTGATTGTTGATTAATTGTATAAAGGCAATGGAGACACAGACAAGAACGGCGTTAAAACATTAACAATGTAAATATTGCATGTTATTACTCCATATGTGCCTGTGCATGCATATGAAATGCCTATTTTTTTCCCACCAGAATTTTCTTGCAAAATTAGGTACATCAGAGAACCATTAATTTATTGTGTTCCATCTTTTAAATGACCTGACCCTAAACTTTAAGGGTCGACACTTCTCTTAGTTTCGTAGTTAACAGTAACAGGAACAGGTACCTGGTTTTGGTTTCTGCACCAGAATCATTCACTCACTCGAAAAATTCGTATTTAGTTAGAGTTAGCACGTAGTAACCACAGAAGACCGTCAGGTTGGGATATGCGCGGGCGGGGGGGGGGGAGTCGTGCCGAGGGGGCGACTCGAAAATTTCTGCACAGGAGCGCCAAAAACGTAAATGTGTGTGTGTGTGTGTGTGTGTGTGCCAGGGGGCGACTCGAAAATTTCTGCACAGGACGCCAAAAACGTAAATCCGGCCCTGCTCATCGGATCAGTAGTATTTGCAATCCACTTAGGGTAGAAAACTAAAATCAAATTTAAGAGAATTAAATAAAAACTAAAAAATCACCTGTTGTCACAGAAGCCGTCCATGTCAACCAATCATGAACAGAGGAATTTGAGTAATACAGCCAAAAATCATACTTGGTACCAGGAAGGCACTGAGAGAATTGAATTACATCCTCAATGTTATGAGAGGCGATTGTTGTGTTCGGGGCAGGTTTCCCATGAGGAGGTGAGTAGTCAAGTCGATAGGAGCCACTGTCTTGACTGAGGTTTCCTGGAATCTGGATCACTAGATCAGCGCAGAAGCATGCCTTGAATTGAAAAAAAAGTCTGATAAATTTTTAGGATAAATAACAATTGTTAAGTTAACAGTTTTCTAATTACTTAAACTGCAAAAATAAGGATCTTGTTTGTTCGGGAGGAACATTTTTTTTTTTTTTTTTTTTTTTTTTTTTTTTTTTAATTTTTTTTCACTCAATTTAATTTGCCACCCCCACAGTCAACCCCAGCTTTGGAGAAAAGTCTGGGGACCATCTACTCTTACCCTGAAAAGAGGTTTCCCTAAAATTAACTGTCATGACAGCTATGGAAGGGTGGAGGAAAATAAAAAAAAAAATGTGAAAAAAAACGAAAGTAGGTAGCAGCATGAAATCATTTGAAAATTAAGTTAAGTATGATGAATGGAGCTGCTTGAAAATTAATCTTCAGAATAAAATGACAAGTTTCCTCTAAGAGACTTGGATGGAGATGAAAAAACCCTTTACTCAATGAAAATCACTCTCGTAAAATGTCCCACTGCCCTGTTCTTTCAGTAACATCACAAGTGGAACTTGTCAGCCTTGTGGAAAGTGCAGACAGTTGCTGCTTTTATACAACCATTCAAATGATCATTTAGTATGCACGCAGTTAGATCAAAGCGTAAAAACTAGTAAATACATCATTTTCATGACACACTCTCCCTCTTCATATGAACATAGCAATATAGATCTCTGAAGGCTAATGTACATACTCGAGGTTACGCTCGCGTTCACCTCAAAGGCTGACATTCTGAGTGCACCTATTTTTGAGATTTTTCAATGCTGAACCTATGAAAACATACATCTTCATTGTGGAGTTACCTACATAATTTTCCCCAATATATTTATCCAAGTTTCTAATTTTGAAATTCTAAAGGAGTATTTTTGAGAAGGTGAGGAGAGACTAAAGGAGAAAATATGTAAAAACCATCAGTAACATCATAGAGAAAAAAATGAAATGTGCTGAAAACTGAAATGTCGCAAACTGAGATATGTAGTTCTATAGTTGCCCCAGTAGCATGGCCCTTTCACCAATAAAACCTGAGAAGTGAGGGACTGTAATGGGTATCCAATATCAAATTATCTAAGCCCAAGTATGTAGTTGGATGAGTCTGTTGTAGTTTGACATTAATTCCATAAAAACACAGCAGCAACTTCAATCCACAATATGCAGCCACCATCGCAAGGGACTAATTCACCTGCGAAGGACACCCACTGGACATTAACCACGAAGTGTAGCAGGCCCCATGAAGCTTCATACAGATTGATAAGACTAAATTAAAACAGAATTTACTTACGTTTAATAAAACTAGGAGATAAACGGACACAAAGTAATGAGTATTGATGGATGGAATGGAATAAATGGAAGATTTCATTGTGTGAGTGAAATTGAGATGTGCCCTACTTATGAATGAAAACAATCACGGTAAAGCACGGGTAGACACAGCGTCTACGAGGGATAACATGGATTGGCACTGATAATTGATTGGGATTTTATGAGATTCACTGATTATCATGACTGCGAATTATCGACACTAACATATTCTAAAATCTAAAAAAAGTTAAAATCTAAAAGCGAAATCCATACGGTACCACACAACACAACCACTTGTACACATAACAACACGAACCACGAACGGTTTTCTTGATGTTTGATGGCATTCGTCGATGTTTACTTTTTGCAGGCAAAGACCCCCTACGATGTGCAGGCAAGATGGCTGCGTCGCGCGACGGGAACTCAGGGCAGTTCGAGCACTCTCTTCCCAATACCTACTCTAACCCATCCTATCGTCCGCCGCCTCCCTACCCCACCCAGCTCGTAATTCTCAAAATACTTTGGCAAGATATTTTTCTGATATAATTTAAGGATATAATATAATTATTGACATAATTATTAGGATATAATTTATTTAAGGATTGAGGATGGAGAATCTTTAGAATTTATGGAGAAATCACAAGCTTGTGTGGGGGCCCCAGCGTTCTGAGGCATTGAAATTAATCTTAAACGTACCTATTTACATTTTGAATTTTGGTGGAAAATACGGGGGGGAGGGGGGCTTTAATTTATATCTGAGCCATGTATGTTTGATTAGAGGATTTACTNGCTCAATCGGCATTCGTCTGCCCTGTCTCTGCCAGATCTCGGTGACATGGAAAAAATGATAAGCTGAACGTATTGGATAAACAAAAAGGCGATCGCGTAATCATCAGTTACCTAATTACTGCATTTTTTGTTCTGAAAACGTGTTTCTCGGGCGCTTCTGAGGTGTATTGATTTCAAATCGCTTCTTCATCCTGTGTAGTTACTCTGCGCGCTTGTGTTTCATTTTTCATGATCGAAATCTGAATTTTAGCTATCCAAAAATCTCTACTATTTACCTCTTAGGTTAAGTATCCATGATTTTCACAATGCAACGGACAAATACTTTAACGTTACTCAATTTCTAATAACTTTCGCGCTGAATGATTGACTATCCGTCATTTCATTCACAACAGATTTTCTCTGATAATATGGTCATTGGTCACCCGGTGACATGGTCTGGAGACGGAACTCGGCTGATCGAAGAGGATTAATGGGTAAGTTTAAAGTGAACATCATTACAATTTTTTTTGTCCATGAATTGTAATCCTGCAAACCACTGCTGTTTTTTAGAGTTCATAGTATGTACATGCAAGACACTGCCTCTCCTCTATAAGATTCAAAAGCGACTCAGCAGTGAGAGCCCCTGGGATTTCTACCAATTCTACTTCGATGTTTTTGACTGGATCCTATCCTGTAGTCATGCATATCTTTGTTACTTGATTAGATTCGGCTAACTTTAGTGTGGACATTTGACTAGATTTCTGTGTAGGGTGTCCGTGTAACTGTTGGGCCTTGTGTTCAGGGGGGCCAGAGGCGTAGGAAGGGGGGGCCTGGCCCCCCCTAGAATTGGAAATAGTATCATCTGGCCCCCCCAGAAATTCTGGATGTTGCAAAAACACCTTCTTCAACGGTAAGTCTCTGTCGCTGTGGCCCGTGAAAGGATGCCTTTAAATAGAAAAACCTGTTGAATGCAACAATTTCAAAGTGTTTTAACCTTAAAATGCTAAAAACTGGGAGATTCTTAGGCAGAAATTGAAGGAAGATTAGCGCCACAAGTGCCTCGAGATGCGCACAAGTAGAGTTCAAATTTCAAAAATTTTCCGGGGGAGGCCCCCCCCCCCAGCAAAATGACCTAGCTACGCCTACGAGGAGGGCGGGTGGCTATGTGAAAACCCTTGATGAGGGAAGCTCAAACTGTTTGGTGTATGACAATTTATATACTTGAACCAGGAAATTTGATTAAACGACCCGAGGGAAAACGAGTTGGAGAGAAATATAGCCAAGGTGGTAGAATACTGCTGGGTCCACACTATCTTGTGGGGAGAGCAAGGCAAACAAGTTCAAACATTTCCATTAGAGTCAAAAGTTTGAGTGTTAATGAGTAACAGTACAAGATTGAGGGAAGGAGAGTGTTAAGTTCAGGCAGGTGCATTGGAAAGTTAAGCTGCGGTCACGCCGAGAGATCTATGACGTTTTTGGTCTTATTAGACCTCATCAGTAGATTACACTTGTCAGTGAGCCTAGCTTAGCATCTAGCATCAAAGACGCCATTGAAATGCTGTCACGAATATGACGCAAGGCATGACACAAGTGTGTGATCCTCGCGCTATCTATTGTGGCTACGAAACAACTCTCAGGACACAAGAAGGAAAACCCAAAAATAATTTTAATCGGTTCAATGATCTTATTAAATAATGATAGGTAGTTGAAAATGCCAACGCGTCAAGACTCAACCGCCTGCTCCTGAATGGGAAAAAGATTGACCAATGAAAATTTTCAAGTTATGAGTAATTATTTTGTATTTTTTCCCTATTGCTCTTAATGATTGCTCAAGCCCTACTGTTACGTGCCTAAAAAATATGTTTTGAATGACATCTCAAAACACAGTACATTCGGTCCTCATTACATGGAGAGAAAGTGCACGTCTTGGTTCATCTCCATAATGATACGCCTACTGTTGATTTCGGAGATGCAAATGCATGCCTTTTCATTCAAGCCACAAAAATGTCGCCCTCTTTTGCATAGTGCCAACCTTTTGCTGAAGTATTTGGTAAGGATGAGCACTTTCTTCCAAACCTCCCTCCCCCCATTCTTAATCATACCACCTGTTGGTTGAATATAAGTAGTTCTGGGAGAAATTTTTTGAAGTTTAGCCATTCTTCCCCCCCCCTCCCTCAGATCTAATGGAAATTACATCTCTGGAAGAATTTCATTAATATTCACTACTTTTTTAACTCGAATTTTGTTACCTACTGAGGGAACAGACTGGTGGGGCGCCAACCACTGGGGTACAAAACACTTTTGTGTTTATTTTTTACAACTTTCAGAGATTTTTTATTTTTAACTCATCATATCTTTATCCTGAACTATGCACGCCCTTTCAGAACTTTTAAAATTATTTTTAAAAAATCGTAATTCTACCTGTCTGTTTTCAGAAGATTAATATCTTACCTTTTAGAAGGTTTTATTTTCACTGAGATTTTGTAGCTCCCTCCAATTTTGCCTCAACTCTGATGGAGGGGCTTGGAGGACAAGGCGCCTAAGTGCAGTTTTTGCTATTTCGAGAATTACATGTTTTAAGTTTTGAAATTACATGGACACTTATGGTGGAAAAAAAGTTAAAACTGACTATTCGATGCTTAAAAATTGGAATTTGGGAGCGAATTTTTCACAGAATATGCAGGAATACGTTGGAACGAATGGTTATGAGAGTGAGTTATAAACGTTGTAAGAAGGCGGTGCACACAGCACAAAAATCCTGCAAGCAAATATTACTGCTCCTAAGCCGCCCACATTGCCTAACGAAATATTGAAGGCGAACTGGTTCTAGTGAGTGAGGAACAATAGGAGTAGTGTATTAAAACTGCTATAGCTATGAATACTTGAATAAGCCGAGAGAACGTGGTTGAAATGTTGCGAGCAACTATTACTGCTCCCAAGCCGCTCACATTGCCTATCGAGAAATTGAAGGCGAATTAGTTTTAACGAGAATGGAGTCTTTTTACACCCTAAACTAGCCTTTTTCTTCGCTCGACACCTTCGCTTCAGTCCAAGCAACGTTTCAAGCTCTTGATTAAGCGAATTTTATTTTAAGGCTTGGAACTACTCTCTAGATTTATCCAAACAACCATCAACTCGGAACTCAGTTAAATGATGATCATAACATGGAACTTATTTAGGACCACCTCTCGGTAGGTGGGCTCAAAATAATCAATCAGATTTTTGTTAGGCTCCGACTCAACGTCACCAAATCGAAGGTTCAGACCTCAAATAAAATGCACGCAACCACGAGGATCTGTGTAGGTACGAACTAGCACCAAGCCTCAAAATAAAATTATCTCACTCAGTAGAGGCTTTTTTGGGTCCACCTCGTGAGGCAACTTAAGCTAAGATCCACGCTTTTGATGATCATCGAATTTCATACAGTTTACGATTATGTCTGTCTGCCCTAGTAGCATTTCTCAACGGAAAAATCGCTACATATTGCGATTTTATCGGTGATATAATCACCTGGATCATCAATATCTGAGCGATTATCCTCAATCTCATCGCGATAAAATCGCGCTTTTATCGCTCGACAATTTATCGCGATATTTTTGAAATTAAGATCGCGATAAATGGCGATTGAATCTCGACTCTATCGACGAAAATTGATCACGATTCTCTCGAACCGTAAATTGCGATTTGTAGCGATTTAATCGTCATATATTGCAATTTTTAATGCGATAATATCTCGATACCTACATTGCCACCAATATAATCGCGATAACCAACATATAAAATCGCTATTTATCGCGATCACCGCTTCTTGGGATGAGGCAGAACCTCACACAGAACCTCCTCAGAAGTCCCGAACTTCGGAATGAACTTTCCGTATTCTCAAACGCATCAAGACACCGGGCTCACTAATTAGGAAGTGTCTCGCAATAGCCGGATAACCGAGATACTCGGTCGATCTCGAGTTATACCCAAGTCAAAAAATTGAATTTCAAGATGTTCGAGAGATTTTAGTATTGGTGATATTTGGCAAGAAAGCTTTGGGGGTGAAAGAGACGGGGGAATAGGGGAGCGAGCGCCACACCCTATCCGTAGCCCGTTTCCTGGAAGTTCGGTATGCACTCCCGAACAGCAGCGTCTCGAATGTTACCCAAAACTCTGATACGTCGAAAAAAACAAAAATCCTCTCGTCCCGTTGTTAGAAAGGTCTCCTGAGCCTACTATACACACGCATTTATCCCTCTCATGGGTACGCCAGTTCTGTTGGTCGTAGAATCGCACCTGGATGGAAGTCGTGTACGTAGATCAGCCAAAAGGAAAGCCCAATTCACACTATCAAACTTTTCATTCAAATCTTGAATGCAACTTGTCGTGATGAAAAGTTGGAAAGTGTGATACCGACGCGAAAAAACGACAATTCGATGAAACATTGAACGGAAACTTGAATGTGACGTCACATTCAACTTTTCGTTCAATTATGTCGGATGAAAAGTTTGATAGCGTGGATTGGGTTCAATAAGATCGATCCGATCGATAAGTTTCTC